ACTACACAATAACATCAGCCAGCAGGAATGATGCAGGGACATACAGATGTGAAGCTGTTGTTAATGTTCCAACTCTTGGCCAGTACAGTGACTCTTACACTGTTCAGGTTACAGTTAGATGTAAGTCAACTCACAATACCTACTTCTATTCTTTTCCCTGGATAGCTCATCTTATGCACTTTGTTTACTATTATAATACAATGTTAAATAGATGAGTAATGAGATTGAGGAAATTACCAGCTTATAAGGTATCATGGACAAATTCGTAGAAATAACCAACAAAGAAAGGTATGATAAACTGCTTAGAAAAAATATTACCGTATTTACCCGTCTATAATGCGCGCCCATGTATAATACGCTTCCTAATTTTTGACCTCTTTTTTCCTTAAAAAAAAAAAGATTTCACGACAAATACCAAAAATGAAAACGTCCATTTTTTCATTTAGTTAACTAGAGCTGGGAATTCATCAATAATATGTTTACAACAATTTCTAACTAGTTGCTACTACAAATATCGCACGCACCGACTTTTCTATTCAATAACAGTCTAACGTTTTACAAATGTTGTAACTTGAAGTCCTTATTAATATACCTAAATTCACAACTTGAATTATTATCATAACAGCCATTCATAAACATTATTTCTACTCATAGCACTGCTGGTAGCTTGAATATCATCACTGCATTGCAATTGCGTGATTTAAGTAAAATGTTCAGTGTCTTTAAACAACGAAACCTTCAAATTCCGACTCGCAGTCCAATTCGAATAGATTTTCGTTGACTGAATCATCAAGTTCATCAGTGATCTCGGTTGAATTGTAAACCAATTCAACTTGTGATCCATCCGAATTGTTTGTGATCCCATAATTCAGAAAGAGGCAGCGATCATTTCTGACGGAATGGCTTTCTACGCTTGCGAACGAACAGATCAGTTCTTCCGAAGCCTTTTGTCGTCCAGTAAATTCGTGAATTCCATCAGCCATCCACTGCTTTCGGACTCCATCTCTAAACGGTTTGTTCAAAGATACATCGAGCGGCTGAAGAAGGAAGCGGTCACCGTATCTATCACGTGAGCTTCAAATGAGTCGTAAACAAGCAAGCTCTTTCTCCTCCCCAGGCCACCGATCCGCGCACTTTTACTTTCTTTGTTGTCTTTTTAACGTATGCAAATTAGGACGTGCTTGACAAACAATTGAATCCGTGAATAATACGCACCGCGATTTTGATCCTTATTTTTATAGAAAAAAAGTGCGCATCATACACGGGTAAATACGGTACTTTGGAAAACTCAGTTACAATGCATGAACACATGCATCCAATCACAGCTGAGCACAACAGGTAACACATAATCAAACTCCTAAAGAAGACAAGCAGTATGCAGTTGAAACGTCGCGATCCACAACTGCAGTGACAACATCATGAGACAAACAATCATACTTCTCTTTTAAAATTGTACATATATGTCCAAGATTGAATGCAGTAAATGTTGTATGATGTTCATGTATAGTCAATATACACTACATTAAAGGGGATCATCGACATATTCTCAGAAATGGCCAACAAAAACATATACAAACAGTTACTTGTTGAAGAAGTTCTGAAATTTCAGACCTCTGTTTCTTGTGAGTTCAGGATTGAATGCAAGTTCATCTAAATTTTTTTTGGTTTGTTGTGTAATTTCATAACCAACAGCATTTTCACAATACTTCAGTTAGAAGTTAAAATGATGTGGTTCTTTAATTGAATTTTTTCTATGAGGATATTTTGTGATACCTGTTATAAATAGAATAAATGTCATTGACAATCAGTCCTGAACATTATCTCCCAGGACGTGTTGAAACATTTTCTACATGCTCATGGGATCATTTTGTCAATTGTTCATGTAAAGGTAATTTTGAGAAGGATCCAAAATTGTTGTGACTATTCCTGTTTATTAACCCTTTAACTCCCTGATCAAATTTTTAATTCTCCTTACTGTCAACCATACAATTCTTGTAAGGTTAATTAAGAGAATTTAGCATTAGATCAACTAATTATCTCCAAGTTGTTATTTTTCTTTATTCTCATGATTTATCTGGTTGATAATTGTATTGATACTCTAAGGAGAAATTCTGTCTAGGTCACTCATGGGAGTTAAAGGGTTAAATAACTGAGATATTACAAGATATTAAGATATTATTACAAGGTACAAGATATTATTGCCCTGGTTGACTGAAAAATACTATTGATTACTGCACCCTTAAACCCTTAAATAGAAAATCTAAACATTTTGATTTCATTTTGTAAAAACAGTTTACCTGGCTTTCTATTGATTAACCAGGTGTAATAACCCTCTTGGGATGTTGGAAAAACACAAGTAAAGTTCTTAAAACTCTTGCCTTTAGCTCTTGGTTGATAAACAATTCTCTTGAATTTGTTACATTCTGCATGGGTTATAGGCTGGTAAACCAATAGAAAGTCCAGTCTACAACAGAAGTATACATTTGGGACTGTTAATTGTTGGTATGGTACGTAAAGTGTACTGTAGCTTTATGACTGTTTTCCTTACAACCATTGTGGGTTATAGGGCCAACAAACCAATAAACCTCATTACTTTAGTTTACATGTAGGACAGTAAACTGTTAATATGGTGCATACAGTGTACTGTAGCTTTGTGACTTAATCCTTATGTAAGCCAATGATAAAGATTTCCTTTCATGTTTTCACATTTTTACCTAACAGTTCGTCCTGTGCACAAGAAAAACAGTTTGAGCAGTAATCAAACTGTCTTGGAAGGTCGTACTGCCACATTTTATTGTCTCACGGAAGCATTTCCCACTGCAACCACAAACAAATGGTTTAAGGATGGTAATGAGATATCCAATTCGCAAGATTTTGAAACTTTGAAAATTAGCGATACAGAAAGCAGACTGACAATCAAGAATGCTACGAAGGGAAGTGCTGGGCAATACTCGTGTGATGGTACAAATGCAGTAGGAACTGGAGATAGAAAATCTGCTTTCTTATTGGTCAACTGTAAGTTATGTTATTTGTTATGGACTGGACAATGTTGTAGATTTGTTAAATATGTTTGCTGATTTTGCTGTCCTGTGCAAGTCATGATATTGGTTTAATTAAAATGTGACCCTTAATGGGAAAACGGACACTAACGCTTTTCCATTAGAAGGTCTCAAAAAACGGTTGTAAACGGATAGTAAACGGCTAACTCGAGCGTTTAAACGGATGCCATAACCGTTTAAACGGATGGCAAAAAATTTAAACGGTTGATCAAAGTCCAAAAACAGATAGCTTAGGCCTTCAACCCTTGCGAACTGAATTCCCAGTTTTCTGGGAATTCCTAGGAATTCTCAAAAATTCTCAATTATGCAAATGACCCTTGCAAACTGAATTCCCAGTTTTCTGGGAATTCCTAGGAATTCTCAAAAATTCCTAACTGTGCAAATTAACTCTGATTTAAAAAGCTTGGAATTACTGGGAATTTCTAGGAAAGGAAGACTCCAGTTTTGTGAGGACTTGGAATCCCTAGGAATTCCTAGGAATTCTCAGCTTTACAAACTACCTATAATTTAGGAAGTGTGGAACTCTTGGGAATTTCTGGGAATTGAATTTGAGGCAATTTTAATACCCTGAGGTCCACATAAATTCTAAGAAATTCTCAATACCTTGAATGTGAAGGTTTTAAGTGAAGGAGTAATTTCAGAGGCTTAAAACTTTGGCTAAATGAAAGGTATGCTATACAAAACTTACCAAGAGATATACAAACATGTATATGTTAATAACTTAAAGATCATGAAATTTATTATTCAAACTAAGTTTTAGTAAATCTTTACATTAATATGGATTTTCTCATGAACCAGCTGTCAGTTATGTTAAATGGAAATTGCCAATTAATCCAATGTACTCATATCACAGATTTGCTTTCTAACCTCAAAGGACTCTTAGATTCTATGATCAAAAAATATTTTTATTGTGATGCAAATTAATGTCTCATGTTCACTGATGTGCCAAAATCATCAAACATTCATTGACTGTTCCTTGGTACACAACTTCCACAATAATTAACAATGATTACATTGTTATCTACACTTAAAGAACTTTGTTAGTTATGAACATAAGTTACTTCCCTAACCTACATTACTGGTTGCCTTTGTTAGAAAACCTTGGAACAGTCAAGCTCAGTTGCCTCAAACACTGTCAGAGACTTTTTGTTGACAATATTTTTAGTAGAAATTTCATGCCTTAGACAAACAAATTCAACACCTAATTAATCTTTCTTTTTTCATGATTGTTGTTGCTGTTTTTTTTTTCAGTTTTTTGCTCTGTTTTCGTGACTAATTTCTTTAATTTGTTTTGCTGTTTTTATTCTTACAAAACATTTTTGTAAGAATTCCAATACTTGTGGATCATCCACACACTTTGCAAACATTTGGCATGCAGACAAGACAGAGGTAGTCAATGTTCCCTTTGAGAAAAAACACCTTTTAAATGACATCTTCAATTTACTTTATTTGAAACTCTGATCTGAAAATATTTGTCAACAAGATTTGTTATTAGTGAGAAGTACCAACCAAGTTTCCTTTCATAACTTAATTTCTTAAATGTCCCAATCACTGGATCTCCCAAAAAATATTACATCTTTTTATTTTTGGTGCAAAATACAAGTCCTTCTTTATATAAAAATGAAAATTGCAAGTCACAATACAATAATAACAGCTCTAAAGTTTACTTGTTGTTCTTCTCTGTCTGTCAGCTATCAACAAAATTGTTTTATACTTCGGACAGTGCATAACTATTTGTGGACCAGAGTTCCAACGCACCTCTGTAATCGCATATAGTTACTTCTGTCTCTTGTACAAATGTTTCTCCTTTGTAAGACGCACTCTACTCTGTTGTCACTACTGCTTTAAGTTCAGTGGAAATGACTGACTGAGGAATCGAGATGGCGGTGTTGGAACATGTTGCTGAACGCTTGCTACGGTCAAGCTTTGTAGATTTAGGTACTGGTACACTGGGATCATCTATGTATCTCTTATACTTCCTAATGTGGTATCCTTCTTTTATAAATATGAGGGTAAAAGACGATTTGTAGTCGCATTCAAAACTGTGATTGGCTTGTGTTATTTCTCACCTTTGCCATGAACACAACTCAAGTGAGTTTCGAGTCTTTGTTTCCTCGACAACTTTCGGCCACAAATCGTGCATTTGTAATACGATCGATTCTTGTCGATTATTTCTACATAGAGTGAGCTCACATCATTATTTATATCATCAAGGTTTCCAACCTCTAGAAGCAGAGAACCGGTCGGAGAAGTCAGAGTAGAGTCGTGCGCTTCTCATAACACTGCAATCGGCAAGCCAGCGGATTCACTTTGCTAGCCAATTACAAGTCCTAAAAGATCCACGTGATCATGCCCGTGATCGGAAACAAAGAAGACTCCATTTGGCGCTCATCTTTGAATGTACTTTTCATCGGTTGATCGTTTTTCTCAACTGTTTTTTAATACAACATTTCTAAAGATAGCTTTTGTTGTGGTTCAATGGGAAAACGAGAACAGCGTGAGTGTTCATTCAAAAGTTCAAAAGTCATTTCGCAAGGGAAACGGTTGACCAAAAATAAAAACGGTCAGCCCGAAACGTTAAACAGTTGACCAAAGTCCAAAAACGGATAGCTTAAACCGAGAAACGGTTGACCAAAATCGACAAACGATGAGCTAAAAATTAATGTTTAACGGCTGTGATTGAGCCGACGAGATCTTCTGCGGAAAAACTTTCAGTGACAACGGAAAATTATCCTTTAAAGCGAAAACAATGAGCATGATAATTTGAAAAAAAAAATCACTAGCATATACTTGCGCATTTTATTTCTGGGTTAATTACTGCCGCTTTCGTGTGACATTCATGAAATAAGCGCAATTTACTGAGAATAGTTTCGCTGCCGAATATCCTGAACGCAAAACAAATTTGAACTTCATTTTTTCCTGTTCGGAAGTTTCTCAAAACAAATTTGCATATGCAATGCCGCCACCTTGTCTGAAGCCGAAACGTTTCAAGGTCAAATAACGCAATGAATTTCCATTGCAAATAAAAGGTCGAATTGGTGTCACGCACCAAGCGGGGCCGTTAAAATGTTTGTCAATAAAACCAAGAGAGATGAATCAAGATGATATAACCAGAAAGAGAGAAGCCGATTTAGCAGTCCATCAATGAGGAACAATTTAAAACTATGTGACGGGAACCAAGAGAGGGTTATCTCGATTCCACTAAACCTGTAATCAAGATCAGTCGCACTGTTCTGATCGAACAAAGTCGATGGCAAGGTCATGGTCAAATGAATGGCTTCATTGCAATTGGCTCTCGATGCTCTTGGTTTTTACAAACGGATATTTCAACTTAATTTGTTTGTCAAAGGATGCGACGGAAACTCGCTTACTATGATCACGCAAAAGATAAAACCGAAAATATGATACGGTCTTTCTGTATTTCAAGAACCGGCGAGTATCGAGCGAACGTAAGATTTATACTTCGAACTGCCCGTAAAAGAATGATAGGCAAACAGTCCAAAGCTTTCCGTGAAACTTTAAACGGATGGCCTTTTTTTTTTTTAAACGGATAAGCAAACCGTTTAAATGTTTTTGCTAGTGCGTTGAACGGATGCAAATTTTTTTAAACGGATGAGCAAACCGCTTAAACGTTTTGGCAAAAGCGTTAAACGGATAGAAACTTTTTTAAACGGATGCAATTTTTTTTAAACGGATAAGTAAACAGCTTAAACGTTTTAGCTAAAGCGTTAAACGGATGCAAATTTTTTTAAACGGATAAGCAAACCGTTTAAGTGCTTTCACGAACCGTTTAAACGGATATAAACGGATAGTAAACGGTTTTGCAGTTTAAACGGAAAAGCGTTAGTGTCCGTTTTCCCATGGAGGGTCACATTTAGCAACATAATTTTCGTATACGTGCATGATCTTAATTATCTTGATGTTTATCAGGGTGTTTATTAAGTTAATAAGAATTATACGCACTGTACATTGTATTTTGGGAGTGAAATGGTGCTTGTGTTAAAGTGTACAAGCTGGTCATTAATTACTTTTGAAATTCTTCCACATTTTCACTTTTCTTTTACAGTACCTTCTTCAATTACCCAAATAACACAAGATCAGAATGTAACCGAAGGTGACAATTTAACTTTGACATGTAATGCATCTGGAAGGCCTCAACCAAAGGTGTCTTGGATTAAGCCCGGTGGTCAGCGTCAATATGGACACATGTTGGAGTTTACAAACATTAACAGGAGTCAAGCTGGTGAATACAAATGTGAAGCCAGTAACGAGTGCAGTAATGCAACAGAGACAGCAACTATTGATGTGCAGTGTAAGTACATGTGAAAGTCATCCATGGTTACATCTTGTTTCTTGTTTCTTTCTGTCACAGTATACCAATTTGCTTCTCCATCACTTTATTGATGGAGAGACTTGTTTATTCGTAGCTTCAGCATCAGCCAAGGAGGACGACTCCTTGGCCAATTCATTATACGTAACTTGCAAAGGCCAATGAAATTATAATATAAATTATCTCTTTTGTCCTTAGACAAACCAGAGAATGTCCAGTTAATGAGTTCTGCCATGAATGACAAAGCATGTATGGGAAAAGTCATCAGTTTTACTTGCTCAGCTGATGCTAATCCAAGAGTGACTTCATACCGGTTGTTTGAGAACCAAAAGGCCATTTTAAACACAAGTGCCTCGGGGACGTGGAGTAAGACTTTGGAAAGTGAAGGAGTGTTCGTCTACAAATGTGTGGCTAACAACTCTCTAGGATCAGATTACAGCATGGATGTTCCTTTCACTGTAAATGGTAAGCAAATTAGTCGCTAACGCTTTTTAGGAGTCTACCATTAAGCAACATAATTTTTGTATACGTGTGTGATCTTAATTATCTTGATGTTTGTCAGGGGTTATTAAGTTGACGAGAATTACATGCACTGTACATTGTATTTTGGGAGTGAAATGGTGCTTGTGTTAAAGTGTACAAGCTGGTCATTAATTACTTTTAAAATCCTTCCACATTTTCACTTTTCTTTTACAGTACCTTCTTCAATTACCCAAATAACACAAGATCAGAATGTAACCGAAGGTGACAATTTAACTTTGACATGTAATGCATCTGGAATGCCTCAACCAAACGTGTCTTGGATTAAGCCTGGTGGTCAGCATCAGTATGGACACATGTTGGAGTTTACAAACATTAACAGGAGTCAAGCTGGTGAATACAAATGTGAAGCCAGTAACGAGTGTGGTAATGCAACAGAGACGGCAACTATTGATGTGCAGTGTAAGTACATGTGAAAGTCATCCATGGTTACATCTTGTTTCTTGTTTCTCTCTGTCACAGCATACCAATTTGCTTCTCCATCACTTTATTGATGGAGAGACTTGTTTATTCGTAGCTTCAGCATCAGCCAAGGAAAGAGGATGACTCCTTGGTCACTTCATTATACGTAACTTGCAAAGGCCAATGAAATTGTAATATAAATTGTCTCTTTTGTCCTTAGACAAACCAGAGAATGTCCAGTTAATGAGTTCTGCCATGAATGACAAAGCATGTATGGGAAAAGTCATCAGTTTTACTTGCTCAGCTGATGCTAATCCAAGAGTGACGTCATACCAGTTGTTTGAGAACGAAAAGGCCATTTTAAACACAAGTGCCTCGGGGACGTGGAGTAAGACTTTGGGAAGTGAAGGAGTGTTCATCTACAAATGTGTGGCTAACAACTCTCTAGGATCAGAATACAGCATGAATGTTCCTTTCACTGTAAATGGTAAGCAAATTAGTCGCTAACGCTTTTTAGGAGTCTACCATCAAGCAACATAATTTTTGTATACGTGTGTGATCTTAATTATCTTGATGATTGTCAGGGGTTATTAAGTTGACGAGAATTACACGCACTGTACATTGCATTTTTGAAGTGAAATGGTGCTTGTGTTAAAGTGTACAAGCTGGTCATTAATTAATTTTAAAATCCTTCCACATTTTCACTTTTCTTTTACAGTACCTTCTTCAATTACCCAAATAACACAAGATCAGAATGTAACCGAAGGTGACAATTTAACTTTGACATGTAATGCATCTGGAATGCCTCAACCAAATGTGTCTTGGATTAAGCCTGGTGGTCAGCGTCACAATGGACACATGTTGGAGTTTACAAACATTAACAGGAGTCAAGCTGGTGAATACAAATGTGAAGCCAGTAATGAGTGTGGCAATGGAACAGAGACTGCAACCATTCATGTGCTGTGTGAGTTTGGATGGTTTATTGCTTTTACTGTCGTTACTTTGAACTTGAGATCTTAATTGGCGTACTTTAACAGTACCGCTTCGGAAATCTGACAGCATTTTATCTGAATTTGTATCAGAAATAAAACCCTTTAATATCTTATGACTTTTTGATGATTTGTTCCTTTTAAAGATACACCAAGAATAACAAACATTTCTGATGAGCAGATCGTGAATAACGGTGACGTGGTGAGTTTTTTTTGTATAACGGAAGGTAATCCAGCACCAAAGATAACTTGGACAAAAGTTGCTGATAACAGTCAAGTGAACTTTCCTTTGACCATCCGTGATAGTCAGGATGAAGGAATGTACAGATGTACAGCTGAGAATGGTGTTGGAAGCCCTGTAACTAAGTTTGTCAACATGACAGTACATTGTAAGTGATGTAGTTTATGGCAGTTATGATTGTCTTTTGTTTAATCTCAAGCTTTTACATGTTGGCCTTCAATAGGTATTGGTTCAGACTGATACCTTAGTTTTGACATAAAGAAATTTTCAATTGAGTGTCGATTTTGGTTTTACGTAACTCAGCTCACTGATTGGTCCAGCAAACTCGCGCCATTTTCTCAACCAATCAGATGCAAAGCTAAAATCAACCACAACTTTGTCTTTGTTTTCCCGCGCCTCAAGAAGTCTGCTTGTTTTCAATTCGTGTTCTCATTGGCTAATGATAATGTTAACCGTATTGGTCGCTGTGATTATATTTGTTTTGGTTTTTCGACTCACGATTAAAAACTGCTCCTGAGTAACAAAATCACCAAATCCTTTTTTGCTTCTTTTGAGACTCATTTAGCTTCCTTATGTTATAATTTAACAAACTTTTGCTGTTAAATTATAATTATACATGCATGTCTTTTGGTAGTGTTCTGGGCCCAGTTGTATAAAGGTCAGATAACGAAATTCAACGGATAAATCGCTATCCAGCGGATAAGTGATAGCAAAACGTGTCACACTATCCAACGGACACAGATTTATCCAGTGGATAGCGTTGTCTAACCTTCGAAAAACCAGTGCCCGGTAAGTGTCACAGATACATGCATGTGTTGGTACGTTTGTGTTGTGAAATTGCGGACAACAGTCAAGTCACCACTTATCCAGAGTACAATTAAAAATCCAAAGGAAATTCAACGGGTAAACTCTAACTTGTACAGTGCAGGTACAGTTATGAACTAATTCAAAGAGGGTTTAGGTATATGATTCTATGCTAAACTCCCTTCTTAACCAGAGGACTACTAACTTTGAATCTTTGTAATGTGCCTTATAGTTCCAGCTGCAATTGTGGCCATGGGTAATCACACTGTCGTTAAGAATGGAACTATTGAACTTTATTGTTATGTGTCTGGAACGCCACCTGCTACTGTGTTATGGACTCATGTAAAATCAGGCAAAACATGGAACCAGAAAAAATGGACAGTTAGCGATATCCAAGTGGAGGAACTTGGAGAATATAGGTGTAATGCCAGCAACAAATATGGAGGAGATATCAAAAGTACATTTATCTTATATGAAGGTGGGTGAGTCAAGTTGATATGGGAAATGCTTCGCTTACAGAATGTAAAGAAGTTGTTTGCTGGTATTGCTGGGTTACTAGTAAATACATATTTGCTATGAAATTACTTGGAACCTGGTTGGCCCAAATCAGGCATGGGGATTACCGGTCTCTGAGTCCAACATATTTTCGATATGGTCACAGTTCTAATAACTCAAAATTATTTGATCCATAATGTAGACATTCCGGAGAAATATGAAGGTTCTTCCAAAACTCTGTCAAAATTTTAAAATTAAATTACAACTCTAAACTGCTTCTTAAACTTAAAATAGTTTATTTATGTCAATTTAGAGTTTTGTTTTGTTTTGATTTTTTCTTCTTGAATAAATTTAGCATCTGTACTTGCCCTACGATATTTGTTGTCTCCAAAGAGCTTCAGCATATTTAGAACATGGAAATGTAATTTTTCGTGATTTTTAACTCTCATTCTTTACAGGTGGTTTTTGTGAGAAACGATGTACTGATGGGAAATCGTGTCTTAAGTTTGGAGCCACATACGTTTGTATCTGTCCTAAAGGGAAAACAGGAGAAAAGTGTGAGAAAACAGGTTGGAACAACTTTTAAATTTGTTGCAGAGAAAAAGCCACTCCTGTTGCATTTGATTCATTTTGCTATCTTTCCAACCTTAAATTAAGTGCTTGTACAGTTTAACCATACTCTTCTTCTACTGATATCTTCGTTTTACACGCGGTTGTGCCTATGTATTTAATGATAACCCCGCATGAAGATCATCGTTTTAGAAACTTTTGTATACCTGATATATATGCTACATTTACATAGACAGATAGACTGATTATTCAGACTTGATGCTGATCTCTAATGAATCAGTCTTTAAAACTCCAAAGCACAGACTTAAACTTAGCTCAACACATACTTTGAAAATTGATGTTGGTCCCTATTGAATCAGCCTTTAACCTTCCAGAGGATACACTTACATTTAGCCATACGCATATTCAAATTTTGTACATTTGTTTTTTGTTTTTTTTTTGCGACTACATGCCCAGTGGAAACCCAATTGCCTCTCTTCTTGCATTTAGCCAGGTAGTGGTGTTTCCGCAACGTGGATAAGTTCGTTCGATTTGTCTGCTGTGCAAAGCTTTGAGATGAACTGAAGGTCTTCGATGTTTTATCCCCTTTTGAGGTGTTATTTTTTATTTTGCTTTTTGTAACGTTCATGTTTCTCTTGTTCCTAACAGATACACCTAAGAAAGACTTTGTTGTGGGACTTAAACTCAAGGGAGAGTTCAAACAAGCATATGAAGACTTGGAAAATCCAGAGACAAAAACGCTTGTCAAAAAGATTGAAAAAAATGTGAGTGCTTTGGTAAAAATAATTATGATTAACTTGAAGATAGTATTGTAATATTTTAAGGACAGAAATAATTATTTTGGAATACAGCCCATTGCATATCATGATTTAAAATAATTTAGTAAGGTGTACATATGCACCAGACTACTGCAAGGCCCTATCCAATTTCTACACGGACACCTTCTCACTCAGAATTAGGGGAAGTGTGGTGCTTTTCAATTAGAAATTAATGTTTCTTTTATTGGGATAAAAAATTTATTTCGTACGAAGGGCTTCGCTTTTAATGTCTTTTTAAAACAGCAGATCGGGGCATAAATTTCTCCTTGTCAGTACATAGAAAGTAAAGAATATAGAATTGAAAGTTTTTTGTTTTTGTCTTTTCCAGATGATGAAAGAATTCAATGGCACTGGTCTCGCTAGCGTTAAGGTGATCAAACTGAGGTAATACGTTTCCAAACTTTGTGTGCGTTAAATCAGAAACTCTATGGTTAATTTTGTTCATTGTGCAGTGTTTGCAATTCTGATGCATATGAAGCTCTGAGGGCACAAACCAATCATTATTTTAACGTCAAGAGATTATAGACTAAGCGAACTATAATCTCTTGCTTAACGTACATGTCGTACAGGGGAGTACGTGTGATGCTGGAGGATTTTATCGCTGGTATTATTTATAGATCACTTAGAACGTCCTTCTCAAAGCTGCATTATAATTTGCGAGTAATATGTCGCAACTCAATGAATAGAACAGTGTTTGTTAAGAAATACAGCGAGTCATATGTGTACTTTAGACACCCAAGACAATGAGCTGTTCTGGAGAACAAACCTTAAATAATCTCCAGTTTGTGAACCAGATCCTCCTAGTGATTTTTATGGTTTTAAGATTAAATTAAATTTCAAATTCACGAGGAATTTTTTTAAAAGACAAGGTAATGACATGACTCATGCCATCATCAGTTTATTGTGTTGCCTCTTTTGACTTTTATTTAGACGTTACTTAAACAGTATGCTATCAGTTTAAATCGGTAGTTAAATTGGTACCGTTACAATAGTTTACACTCGTCTGCGCAAATGTAACACTTGGAAAGTTAACCTTTTTTTCCTTTTTCTTTTTTTTTTGGGAAGTGAATTGAAGTTATTTTGCATCTGAGTATTCAGCTCAGGTTTCAAGCGGCTCATGTGCAATGCCTCCTGTAATTTGATGCAATTAGTTTTGTCTGAGTCTAGAATCTTAAAGCTCTCAGCTGAACATTTTGACTTAGAGCCAGGAAGAGCACACGACTGCTTTACGATTAAAATGAAATATCGAAATTTGGGTATTGAAAGGATGGGAGGCAAGATTGGAAGGAGTAGAGCTAGAATATTTATCGAGGAAGTGCAGGTTTAAATTGCAGCGCCTAAAGCCCCTCGACATATCACTATTTATTTGTCTTTTCATCTAAAAGTGTTTGATTTCTTGCTTACCTCTCAGGCAAGGAAGTATCATTGCTGACTTGGAACTAAAATTTAACAATTCTGTCGGAGAAAGTAATGTAAATGCATTGCTGACACAGGCAGCGAATAAGGGAAAAATTGGCGATATGGAAGTTGAAGAGTTTAGCGTTGGAAATAATTTCCCAGGTTAGTTCTCTTGTCTTCGTCAATTGTTGCTGTTTTGCAGATCACGGCATTTTGCTTAGTTAATCTCCATTATCCGACAAGCCAGATTTTGGGAGACACAGTTGATGACTTTGTACTTTGAAAGCTAACTTTTTGAGGTGTTTTGAACAAAGTCAGAGTTTAACATTTCCTTGCGCTGGCTTAACCGCATTTGTAATTACTAGGTCCGGGATTTCTTTTCCCTTGGCACCCGTAATGATGAGTGAAAATGTGCCAGGGTGGCTTAGAATTTAAAACTGAATAAAATGAGGCTTTTTTTTATGTTTCAGGGCCAACTACAACTTCACAACCACCCGAGGACTGTGGAACCTTCTTTGAGGGAGAAGATTGTAAAAAAGGTAGGGATTAAATTTTTTTTATATAAAAATTAACCTATTGTGTGAAAATATAACGTTAGTGATAGTGTTTTGTAGATTTTAGTGAAAGGGGAGATGGCCATGATCTTGGCGCGAAATCACGAAAGACAAGATTGGCATGTAAATTGTCAACCACTATTTTAATGATATAGCGTACTGATTGACCAATCAGAGGGCATGTATTTCATTAATCACGTTGGTGATTTCACTCAAAAAGACATTCTCACCGATTGTATAACAAGTTCAAATGATTGCAAGCTTCTAACGTTTTCCAAACTTTTTTGTGTTTTCCAAAATAGTACATTTTTGGATAAATCAATGATTTTTCTCTGCATGTTTTGCTAATCTCTTAAAAAATTAATAGTCAAATTTTGCAGACAAAATTTAAAATGAATTCAAAATTTATGTTTCCCTCTGCAAGATTTAACATGTCCGTAAGAAAGTATGTGTTAATGGTCAACTATGATAAGATGTAAAGGTAATCTATGTAATCTGCAAAGAGTCAGTCACTGGATGTTGCAGAAATTCTGCGTCCACTCATACACTGGATATCGCAGAAATTCTGCAACCACTCATACACTGGGTGTAGCAGAAATTCTGCAACCATTCAGACACTGAACGTCGCTGAAATTCTTCAACTATTCATACACTGGGTGTGGCAGAAATTCTGCAACCATTCATACACTGGATGTTGCAGAAATTCTCAAACACTTGTACACTGGGTGTCGCAGAAGTTCTGCGACACAATTTCAGTCCAGTTCAGAACAATTTTAAAAGATTTGTATATGTCACAAATAGAGCACAAATATATCATTTAAATCTTGCATGAACTTGGAAAAGATCACAAGGGAAATTAATGCTCAACTATCTAATGAAAGCCTTAGACCCTACACTATCCAGGGGAAAAATGCTAAATTGACATAATCACAGATTTTAATTAATATCTCTACCAATGTTTACGAGAGGGAATTATGCTACATGTGTATCACAATTAAAAGGGCAAAAATAAGCTTCTAGAAAAAGTAATCCTCTTTCTCAGTTAGCTGTAACTGTTTCCAAAATAAGAAAAATCAAACCGTGCAACGTTGACTAATAAGTCACATAATTATGAAAGGGAAAATATGCGGTAGACCCACTCTACAAAGCCATTTTGAGGGCGCCTTGTGGTTTTTGCCGGGTTCTTCACTGAAAACAACGACGGACTCTAAAATCTGGTCAACTCTTGTCGCTGTTCTTCACCATTTCTCGAAAATAATCGGTGTCGAATCTTTGAAAGATATTCCTTTGCTGGACCCTTTGGAGTATCACCTCCTGAGAGGAAACTTAAGGTATGAACAAAATGTTTATACATGACTCGTGATTATACATGGCTCGTGATTAAGACGAAAGTTAAATATCACGCGTGAATTTTACTGAAAGATGTTACGTTATGTCACGTTATTCGTGAATTTATTAAACTGTGTAAGGGGAGATTTGATATCCTGAAGTATACTTGAACCCTGAAATTTTTGTTTTGTGTTTATTTTTCCTATCACGTGAAAACCTCAAGATTTCAATAAACCTTGCACACAAGATGAGAAGTTAGAAAATTTCCCTTTTTATCCGTGACGCGTGAATTTTTCGAAAATTCGCCTGCAATACCTTACCGGTCTTCTTTCAGCTCATATTATTCCCAACGAATTCCAGGGGTGCGTTCCAATTTTGCTTCAGTAAACTCATGGCAAATGCTATTTTGGAAAACGTTTAATATGATACACACTCTGATTACTGTACCTTGCGCTCACTGCGATGACATCGTGATAAAATTAGTGATCAGGTACCCTGGATGGTGTAATGATGAGAGAGCTTGCCTGTGGCCAGGGTTTGATTCTCGGAAAGTCTTGGTAGTTCCCATTCAGCAAACGGGTTTTATTGTGTTTGCTGTGTTCACATTCAGCATCGAGGTATATAAAAAGTGTAATTCGAACAACTACAATTTCGGGAAATTGAAGACAATAGAACTGTTTTTTTAGCCAGTAGCCTCATTATTAATCCATAAGTTTCAATTTTAATCAAAGTTTCGAGCCCGTTTTGTTAACGCGACTATCGAGAAACCGGAACCGAGTGTCATTTTTTTGTTAAAAGTTTCGTTCTGGCGAGGATACTTCGCCTCGTTCTCCTTCCTCCAATCCCCACGTCAAACTCCAATTTGACCTAGAAACAGGGAATGGGAAGGGCTCCCATGCTCATATCCACTCGGAACTTGATCGAATTTGATAATCAATTTATCAATTTTCTTGTAAGATTTACTGGAGTTTATTACGTCCATTTTGAAATCACTGGTGGTCCTGGTCGGCGCGATTTATTTACGCATCGCACTATTGTTTGCTCTAAATCGCATCTTTTCCTAGTCAATGAGAAAGCTTTTCTAAAACGCAACAACCAATCAGATTTCATGGCTTGTTTAAAGTAATCAATCAAATCGCAACAAAATAAAAAAAGGCAACATTGAATCATTTTCAAACCAATCATTTAAAGTAACCAATCAAATCGCAACAAAATGAAAGGCAACATTGAATCATTTACAAACCAGCTCAGTACTGCGTCAGTTGAATATTGGTTACATTTTGCGCTTCATAAACGGATGTAATAGAGCTGCAATTGAACTCCGTGTTGTGCAATCTTAGTTGTGATTTCAAATGACGGGTATGATTTCAGACCAAATTGCACTCCATTCACTTCAATTACAATTATAAACTGTGCTAGGCCATATAACTCCATGCTATTTATTCGTGATCTTTTCCAGCGAAGCCTGGTTTGATTGTACTCTGTGTGATTGGAGGTGTGGCAGTTTTGGCAATCATCGTAGCAATAATAGCTTACGGTTTGCACAAGAAAAAATCAAACGTTGCATCCTTTTCAAATGGTAAGCTTATCAGAATTCTTTTTTTTTTTTTTTTCTAGCGGTGATTTTTTTATTTATTTACTTTTTACTTTTATCATCATTTCCTTTTAGTTCTGGCCTTATTGTTGATGATGTTTCTCTCTCTCTCTCTTTTTTTTTTTTTTTTTTGAGGGGGGGAGGGGGTAGAGGAAAAGTTATACTTTTTTATTCCCTGGAGAAATAATTCGGTACCGGCAATCTGTTTGAGATTTGGAACAAAATGCCAGAAATCGGACAAACGTGAGTGTTCCTAAGGGGAAATTAGTTCTAATAATCTAACTGGGATAGAAACAGCTGGTAAAAATGGGTAACAAATTGTTTTCTTTTCCGATTCGTTTGGGTTGTTCCACGATGCCGAAACTGTAATAATGGATGCCACAGAATTTTGAAAAATAATAATTAAAAAAAAAATGAAGGGAGAAAAAAAAAAGAAACAGATCAATTCTGTTCTGGAAGTAGAAATGACCGTTTTTGTTTTTGTTTTTGACTCGTAGGTAACTATACACCAAGGGCCGATCCAGACGGGTGAGACATTTGTTTTGGAAAATGATTTATAATGTATAGTTGCCGCAATGTTTGTTAAATACGCAGTAATGGTAAAAACTGAAATCGTCGTGCTCTTTTGTTATGTAAGCCTGCTAAAGCAAAGCAAGCGCTCTTTTAGGCCGTTAGCAAGATCACAGGCTGCGATATATTTTAGGAGGCGTTTGATCAAAGGTTCCTCTTCATATACGTACATACAAACAAACAAGTCAACACCCCCCCCCCCCTTCCCCCCTCAAAAAAAAAAAAAAAAAAAAAAAGAAAAAACAAGATTGAGCGACGAGTTTAACGTAATAATCGTTTTAACGTAAGATTGAAGACCACCTTGGGTTAATTATCTCTATTTTTGGTCTTGTTTTTCTACCAACTTTCCCGTTCTTGACATTTTGGATTGAACTAAAATGTTAGGGAATTAGGGACTATATTGTTGTGAGAAAGGAATGCTACAATTAAAAGAACAACGTAAACTTACAGGTACATGGTAACTTGTGATAGGGACAGTCACCTTCGATATGGCTCCGGCCTTGGCTTTCTGTGAGATTCTTTGTCTATTTCGTAGCTTTTCTTGATATGAATTGTGAAAGTCAAATACAAATGAATCTTCTATATAGTCAATTTCCATAAATCTTCTATCCTAAGTCAGTAACATACGTGGACTTTTGACGACGACAAATTAATTTCACTAGTTTATATATATATATCAACTTGCCTCTTTTTGGTATGATAGCACTGCTGGTTCAGCAGAGAGGACTCTTCAAGGGAACAATTATGGAAATGTGAATTCAGGATACGAGTATGACAAAACGAATGGCCAGGACCACTCCACTGAAATGGTAACATTCAAGGGGACAAATCCAGCGCAGACTCCTGGGATTGCAATCAACGACTCCAGTATGACAAAGGTAAGGCAAGCTCAAAGTCATGTAGGTTCTACTTTTGTTGCCCTATGTACAGCACTAGTTACTTCAATCTCATATTCGTGAAAAAGTTAATCATAGTGGATCCTTTTTCGGTTTATTTTAGTTTTTTTTTTGTGACTGTGTGTGTTCTCCCACCTTGAACAACAATTATTTTAAGACTCATATTTAAAATGCCGTAACTTTGCGGTGACCTACTTATGCCCACGTCTGGTACACCACTCAGGGATGTCATAAAGCCTCTACTGCACGCTTTTCACTCCGAAACTCATGTTTCATTCGTATTCAACTAAAATCTTAATTTGCAGTTCATTTTGCAACAAACGCATAAATTGAGCCATGAAATGATAACGCATTAACTTACATCTAGCGCTAGTCTAGTGTCAAAACAAGCCTGGAAAAGTTGTCGTGTCCGGAAAATTTAAGCAATCAATAATCAATGAATGAATCAACGTTGTGCAACCGCATATTACAATCCTCGTGAATGCCTTTTAATGTTAACTAAACTTCACGCTGACTTTGAAAACTTAAAATGGCTACTGATAGTAGCCATCTTTAGATAATAAGATATGCCCAAGACTAACGCTTCTGTGGTCAGGATCGCCTATTCCCAATCAAGTAAGAAACTTTTTACTGAATTGAACCCAGTCTTCGCATCCAAGCAATAATCAGCTGGATACCAAGGCACAATAATGGCTTATTGGAATTAAGAGGATGACAATCACCGAAGCAGTCCAAAATGTGTGACTCAAAGCCCCTAAGCACACATTTCTGAAGATAAAATGCCAGATTGGAGCTCAGTTCTTTCTATTCCAAAAGCTGGAGGACCTGTTCTTTTCGTAATGCACAACACAGAAAGAAGACGAGTTTCAGAGCCAGCACATAGGGAGCAATTCATCTTGTGTTCACAATGCCACTCGACAAGATTCAAGATTTGTTATCCACTCATGATATAACTTCCGTCACTACTTAAAGAAAATTGTTGAACAAGAATGAAGATAACATGTAACAGCTCTAACTTAAGTTTTGAACTATTAGATGAGCAATAGTTTTTAAAAATTCGATTAAAGATATGAAAATAAATTTTTTTAGTACTAAAGGTCAAAAATCTAAATTCAGAAAAGTGCACTGCCTATTTACTAAAAAATGCTGAATATTACATTTTAAGTACTATTGTCGGATTCAGATTTTATTCAAGGCCTACGTGAAATAAACTGTTGTTTCTTTCAGTTTTATAAGCAACTGTTGTTGGGCGTTGTTATTTCTTCTTACACATTGTATTTTCCTTGCAGTGAGCAAGAAAGACGAAGCCAGTTCCGGCTTGGCGGATAAGCAGTTAAATCTAAATAAACCGATCTTTAGAGTAATATTCGTACACCTCAGAAACAATTTTTAGAATTTAAAAATGTTCTTAAGTGGTTTAGCACGTTTGCATAATTTTTACTTTTTGCAGAAATGAAATGCATTTTGTAACTTAAGTTAAGTCATCAGTAACGTTATTTCGATGCAATAATATAGATAAATGTTAGATAAGAAGGCACATTGTTTGTTAAAAGCGAGCAGTACTTGCCTTGAGTATGAATAACGTAAAACTAATGATTAGAAATAAAAGGAAAAGAAAAAAAGGACGTGTTTGTAGAAGTAGCGAGATAGAGTCGGGTCCTAGATGGACAAACCGAACAATTAGGCTATAAACCGCAACTAAATCTACCGAAGTAGTATCCATATACGAGGCATCGTCTGAGAAACCTTTCTTGAGCATACTGAGATATTTTCGTAGCCTGTAAGTAATTATTTTTCTAGGTTTAAAATCTAAGGGCTTCTGTCGTAGTTTCGTTTCGCTCCTTGTGTTCTTTTTTTCCAAGTAAACATCAAATAACATCTTTTCGCCAAATTTTAGAACACGAAAATAATTCAAGATAAGTGTTTGTAGATAACCACTCAACTGTGCGGTGTGTGGTGAAGTTTGAGTTTTAACGAGCAAGCTCCTGTATGTTGCATTCTACTTCATTCATAACTTTAGTTCTCGCAAATCGTTGTCTTTTTTATGTCTTAAACTTGATGTTTTATCTAGCGATATAAGTGTTTTAAATCTTGTGGGTCGAATAAAATCTTACATGGTTAATTTTCATTGGCAGTCCAGGCCACTAAAATTGTGGTCGTAAAAATTTTGAGATAAAAGTAGCTTGAACTGATGGTATAATGTTAAAGGAATAATGCCACAACAAGATAAGGTCTAGTTTTAACGATAGCAATACAGAAATAGCTTATTGCATTTTAATAGGATATTTATAGCATTCATTTAATGAGTGTCCTAGGTATTATTTATTCAACTAGTCGCTAGGTGGTAATCATAATTTAGAAGGGAACACGACATAATTTTTTTTCATGTACGTAACAGTTAGATTATGAAAGCTCTCCATTTCTATAGCGTGATAGTTGATGAAGGAGAGGTCCAAATCCATTATCGTGCATAGTAAACGATATTGTTTTGGTATCAATGTACCAGTGGTTCAAACCTTAATAACAAGTTAAGCTTATGTTTTCATTGTAATTTGTTTGCATTCGCGCACCAAAAGGCTTCGAACTGTACTCACTATCTGTATATCATTGAACAGATAGCGAGTATTGTAACCGATCAGATTGCAACATTTGCGATGAAACAGCAATAGATTTATACTAAAATGTTCAAAGTCGTAACCCTTTTTTAGCTGTATAGTATTTGTGCATCGGCACGATAACATTTGTGTTAGTTAAAACATAATCATAATTATGATCATATAATTATATTATCCATTTTTAGCAGTTTTCTCGGTGAATGATTTTTAATCCTAAGAGGAAATTATTAAGAAACTTACTGGTCGACGATTAAACATCTTTACAGCGTGGTGTGTTATCAAAAAATATATCAGAACTATTGTTAATTCGTTAAACATCGAAGTAAGTATATTTAGCTGATTTTGTATCATTAAACTTGAGATTCGTCAATTAATTAAAGCAGTTTAAATGCATCTTTTTATGTTTATTTGTTGAGGGTTTTGGCATAGATGCTGTACCTTTTAAATGTGACCTGTGGGTCTGTAATTGTTGTTAAGCTCAGCACTGGCCATTGACTTCGTTTTTTTTGGTTATTATTTTGCATGCCTGTGTTCTTCGCAGAGCGTGAGTTAACCCTTGGACCCTAAGAGTGACAACCATGTAATTTCTCTTTGAAATATCACCTTTAACCACACAATAGAACACGAGAGGAAAGGAAAAGGAAGTGATTGGTTAAAAAATTCTCCTTTTCAGCACCATAGGTAATGTATAGAGCACAGCATAGAGACTATGCCTACTGATGTTCGAGTATAAACGGTAACGAGTGAGGGGTTTTGAAAATATGTTCAACTTTTAAGGAGGTGACATTTTGATAAAATTGAGTCTTTCATCAATCTTTTTGTTGCCTGTTTCAGATTTCACAGGCTCCGCATCTTGAGATTGTTTTTTTCCACCCTTCATTTCAAAAATAGTACGCGCAGTTACCAAAAGTAAGGAATTTTTTGAACTGTGGAGAAAGGGCCGTGTTAACTATTTAATTCCCGAGTGGCTAGTATCCAATTTCCACTCACGATATCGCCGTTGAATCCCAAGGAGGCTGTGTAGTTAGGGCGCTGGTCTTGTGTCTGGTGGTTTCGGGCTCTAGACTCCTGGCCCTCCATCCTGCCACTCACTGGATTTGTTCTCGGTTGCCCCAAGTTCAACTCCTTGGCTGCACTTTGTACACATGTACAGCCAACTGGCCTGCCTCCTTCCCGTTGGGGTTTTTTTAAATCAGCACGGTTCGTTTGCTTCCAATTTGTCCATATTGGCCCTTAAAAGAGGTCAGTTAAGTAAACTTACATACATACGATCAGGGTCTCGAGAGGAAACAGAATGAGAGCCATTTAAAAAGTTACGATTGTTTTAAAAAAACAAAATCTTTTTGTTAGTCACATAGGGAATGTGTAGGGAACAGTATAGAACATATACAGGTATGCAGGTTGACGTCAGGATGTTTAGGGTAAATGGATTTGACAGATCAAACAATTTCAACAATAGTATTTTCAACCATGTTTGGAGCTTTTTAAAACAGTGCGAATGGTAATCGCGATGAGGCCGCAAAGTGGAAAAGGAGGAGAGGGCAAAGAGTTATAACATGTAATTTGCACTAAAAAAAAAATTAGCCTCCCCCCCTGGAATCTTGTTAAAATTCTTGCAAATACTGTTGAATGTTGTTGATACAAAAGGGGCTTTCTTTATCCCTGTCCGGTGCTCTAGATCTAAGGCCAAAGCTTTTAGCAAAAGCTACACAGCAAACTCTCTGCTAATGGCCAGCTCTCTGCAGCCATCTCATTATGTCAAGTCACTTGTAGATTTTCTTTTGGTATGATTCTGTTTCTCTAATATTTGTTTCTTCGCAAAGCTTGAAACGATTTGTGCACTACTTAAATTAGTCTTTGTCAGACTTTCTTAAATGGAGATATACGAAAACGACGGCGGGCGAAAAATGGTGGGAATGGGGCCGTTTCCCAAGATGACCATCTAGCGTTGTTTGCCCGCCACCGACGAAGGGTTTAGAGGAGATTATAACCTTGCGACAGTTGCCTGGCAGTAAAGCTGACGTGTTGCAACATGCGATACCCTGCGCGAAATTGAGGGTGATCCTTTGGTATCGTCTACTGTTCAGGTCGCTTTGACAAAGTTGGATTGATTCAATGCCTTTTGCTGATTCTTCACCACCAGTCTTCCAGTAGGTACAAGTCTCTTGATACATTGTTTACGACTTTACATAATAATGTATCTGTGTTTATGCTGTAGCGTCCTTTGTGTGAAAATCTTTGAGGCGCGGTTGTCGTAAAGGAGGTTGAGATTTCTTTCCCTTGGCCTAGATCCTTTGTCCATATCGATAACTTTAAATAGATAAAACAAAAACCTAGTTCATTACTTCATGTCAGTCCTCGTCAGAACTACATGCCTTCTTCTTTCGGTTAAATTACCTAACGTGTCTCAACACTTTTTTTCTATCAAGATAATCTGTCTTAACGGGATATGGAAACGTATGTGTAAAGCGTAACTAGGAGGAGAAAAAGCCAATTACACTTTGTTGGATGGTTCAGAACGATAACTAAAAGTTGTCTAAATACAACTACCTTTTCCATCAATGATGGCACCGGCTGGAATGATATAGGAGTTATATGCCATCCTGGCGATAACATTGTGATATATAATAGAAATAATTAAAAGACGCTATTTAATATCAGTAGAAGTGATGAGGCCACCCTGATAGTTTAAAGAGTGACTGAAGATGAACAAACGATTTTCCAGTGCTAGCTCTCCACGCTAAGAAACTCTTGGACCTACAGGATTTTCCTGAACTTTACAAGTAGGTATCAATTAGGTGGAACGCCGCGTTCGCCACCTAATTGATACCTATGGCATCTTTTCATAGCGGTTTATTTTGGTTTCCTATGATTTGGACACACTTTTTAACTTTTGCCAGGCTTTTATTTTGTTAAGACAAAGGAAAACGTGTGCGGACGAAAAGTAGCGGAGATTTAGCCCTTTCCCATGGAAACCACCAAGCATCGTTCACAAGCCACCGACCCAGCACCTTTGACAGGTTACGCGCGCCTACTCGCTTGACGCTGACGGTTGCCTGGCAGCTAAGCTGTTGTGAAAGTAAAATGTGATACGTTGCACGCCATTGAAAGTGATCTGTCGTCTTGTATGCGTTTGTTGTAGAACATGGCCTCGGTTAACATAACTTCGGCTCTTAACAAAATTGGATTAACAAGGTTTGGTGGAATATTTCTCTGGCTGATTCTTCATCGACAGTTTGTCGGTAAGCTTAAGGCTTTCAATGCCTTGTTTATCACTTACATGGTTTTCGTATCTGTAAGTTTTTGTGATGTAGCTTTGATATCAGCGGGGATCATGCTCCAAACAAGGTTGTGAGCGTATGGCTGTTGAGACGGTGTAAAGCATATAATTCTCATCTTGTGTACTTGATTCATACATAAGATCGTAAATATTCGTAGATTACATGCATTTGCGATTCATAGTTTTCGACTTATCATGGGGAGATAGATTCTGTCGAAGCACTGAGGATGTCTTAATGCAAGGTCCAATATATTTTGATAACAATTACATTCTTCAAAGCAGAAGAAAACTAGCTCACATTTAAGACGCTTTTTCCTTTAATTGTATGATCGTTGAGTCATAAAGGCTGGCTGGCTTTGTATTTATGTTATCGGATTTCACCCGTGAAAGTCATGTTTTTGTTTAGTCAAAATATAACACTGACTCACAAGGAGATAATCTGTTTTATTTAACGGAATAAGGAAACCGAGAAAACTTAAGCAAAGGGGCTAGGAGCCGTAGATTGATTTATTACTCTTAGTGATCAACTTGATCAATGATTCGAAATGACGACAATTTCGCCGAAACATTCCAGGTTCCTTTGTGCAAATTAGGATGCCATCTGTGGATGTAGACATAAATAAGGCGAAGATAGGCGTAGAACTGTTATTATGTTTAAATTTTACCACCAAAATATGACACAATCCGCTGTCTGGAAAGATTGAAGCTCGAAAAGGAAAAACGAATATACACATTGGGTTGTTGAGTCTTGCGTGACTGATGTTATGTTACGCGTGATTGTTGTCATGCTTTTAGCTTGAACACGATTATGGTTTCTGTGATCTGTCAATTTCCCTTTCTTCTATTGGGCGAATTGTTATTGTGCGTAAGATGATATGTACTCTAAATCCATAGCATCGCTCGCGATTTTGAAAGATGAACTCCAATGTTTGCTAACGCTTTCACATTTGTTAATGTTTGTTTATACTGAGGTTCTGCTTAGAGTTAGTGTTAAATTGTTACCAAAAATAGAGGTAAGCTTTGTTGTCAACTGCAGCTTTTCCGTGCTCAGCACTGCAAATGCTAAATGAGCCTAACATGAGTTTTAGTTTTCTTTTACTATTTTTAACTTTTTTGATGTTACGCAGAAGAGAATTGACTACGTAACGTGCTTTCATTTAGCACTCGCCTAAGGGAGGCTTACAGGCGGAAATGGTTCATTGGCTTTTAAGAGATCGACAACAATGTGTTGATGACAGCTAAATATTATTGTTTGAGGTTTCCTGCGTAATTGGAGGTGTAAACTTAACAATTAATTCTTAGAATCATTGTGGTCAGAAATAAATAATTTAGTTCTCTGGCGTCTTCACGTCGACCACATTAATATCCGGAGTGTTTGGTTTGGCGCTGTGTCACAAATGTGAAATGCAAAAGCAATGCCGCTAGCAATGTTTTAATGTGTCTGCCTTTATTGTTAAATTTGAAAAGATCCGAGGCTGTTCTTGATCAAACTGATAAGAACTTCAGACAGGCACAAGGAACTGAATTGCCCTTTGTACTAAAAACCAAAAGAGAACGTAAGCTGTCTCTACGAAAAGTTTTCCTTCTTTCGAATATTCAGAGCCTCAGTTCATTTTTCTATTGTTGTTATTTTATATTTTTTAACTCCTTGGACATCCCGAGGGCAAAAGACAAGAAAGGCTCTGGAATGCTCTTAATAACGCAAACATATTGCGAGGGCTTTTTTCTGCTTTATTTTAATTCATAGATATATTAATTTTTGCAACGTCACCCTCTAAGTGTGCCTAATCAAGAAAAACCGGCTATTTTAATTTCCCATTTATGAAAGGCTCTTTGTCGTTGTTAAAGTGTTCTAGATCTTACTGATTGCCCCTCGATCGACACCTCTCGCAGTCTGAGATAATCGCACGCGATAAACGTCGAATAACTTGCCGTCGTGATTCTTGCCGTACCTCTTTAGTTAAATACAAGTTGAATACGATGTCGTCGCTTTTATTTGTAAAGCATAGTTTCAGTTATATTCAACTTGAAAGAAAAATGGAAGGAACAACATCCTCAACTTCTTATCACAAATCATTCTTCTCTCTACTAAAAATTCTAAAATTACTAAGCTATCGTTACAAACGAGAAAGTTGGTTTTTTCTTTTCCTTCTTCTCCTCTAAGGGCAAAATTAGTCTTCCTGCTAATGAATGTTTTCTTAAGTGTTTTATTCTTTAACCCCTGCCCGTCTTGAAACGTTCTTTCAGTTACGGCTTGATATTTTCCTTCACTCTTACGACAATTTTCACCTTAAATTTGTGAATTTTTTATTATTGAAATTGAAAAACAATTGCTGGACTGACAAGGACATCTCTTATTGGGGGGAAGGGATGGGGGCTTTTGGTAAGAAGTCATATTGTATAAAGTTCTCAAAATGGTAGATAAAATTTTGGGCGTGCAGTGATATTACGTAATATCTTAAAAGTGGCTGCTACTTTGGCTTACAAAAAGGAAGCAGTTTAGAGATCAATAATTTTACCACCCCTCTGCTAACACAAGATTCATGGAAATCAAACTACACCATTCTAGAAATGTAGCGAACGAATATTTTAACAAAAGTAACTAGAAGTGATCGAATATTTTGCAAAAATAAGTGATTTAGGGTTATTCAGTTTAAATCCATTCTTCAAAGAACAGTTACCTCTTAGTTCAGGATAAACAAAATTTGGAGTGAGTGAAAAGTTATATTGGTGGGAACACTCTTACTGTTAATGTCAATTTTACGTTCGTGCAGCTGAGACAGGAAAAACGAGTACTTAGAGGGAAAAGAGGGCTCCCTTGGCACTGCCATAACCGTTATTGTATCTGTCAGCTTGGGTAGCATAGCATTGGGATTACTTCAAGTTGCTTTGTAAACAGGTCAATTGAAAAAGGAAGTGTGTTTACCCTTTAACTCTCATGAGTGATTAAGACAGAATTTCTCCTTCTCCTTAATTGATCCAAAATTCAATTTTCCAAACTGACGTAAGGCAAACAATAAGGAGAATTCAGTCCTTATGAGATCTTGGGTGTGAAAGGGATAATAATATGGTTACCCTCTAAGGAGGGTAACCGTTACTCTTCTCTGTATGATAAATTAAAAGGATTATGTCTTACTTCAAAATGTTGTAGCCACTACAGTACTGTGGACAAAACCAGCCCCAAGTTGGACCCAAACGGATTCAAATGACATCAGAACAGTTGATATTCAAGTATTGAAGGGCAGCACCCACATACATCTCAGTTGGAATTACACTTTGTCAGAAGGTTCAGATCTGAAGACAACAACTTTTTCCATCAATGATGGCAGCAGCTGGAATGACATTGGAGTTATATACCATGCTGACAATGACATTGTGATATATAACAAAAATAATTACAGGACGCGATTTAATATCAGCGATAGTAATGTGGCCACCCTGATATTAAAAAAAGTGACTGAGGATGAACGAGCGATTTTCCAATGCAAGCTCTCCACGCAAAGTAACTCTTGGACCTACAGTATTCTCGTGAATTTTACAAGTAAGTGTCAGTTCGGTGATATCCATCTTATTGCATCCGACGCATTGTGTAAAACTCCAGTCTTAAATCACTCTCGTTACTTTTTATTGTTTAATTTACCAACCATCCCAACTGTGTCTCTTTGATAAAAATGTCTGGTTTTGGTATCCGTACTTCCCCTCTGTATTCAATCTGTCCCAAGATATACTATTACCATGACCCAACTTTCAAACCCAGTGTCGAGCTTTGGAAGGATTTCCTATTTTTGATCTACAGTCAAGACCCTTTATAGTTACAGTAGCTGGTAGCCCCACCAAAATGTTATGGGGTCTAGAGTTACCCGGAGTGATCAGCAAGCTACAGTTATAGCACGCATAGCTGTTCGCATGTCTGAGAAAGTTGACAGAAAAAGCGCCCAATTTTTCTTAAAATGACCCCAAGTGCCCCAAAACTATGCAAAACAGCAAAACCCAAAAACCAGCTTTAGAACATTCTTATAACCTCGCCGGTAAGGCAATGGTCTTTGTATTATCTCCTTTAGAGTCAAAGAGTCTTAACTGGGAGTGTACGTCACATTAAAAGTAGAACCATGTGCAATTTCCGCTTTAAAGGTGCAATAGTCTGACGTATGGGAAGAATGGCGGTTTAAATTGATTTAGAATTGACGATTTTGGGTTTTTTTTTGCCAGAACGACATCTGAATTGGGTGGAGCGACCGTTATCTGTTGTTGCTGTTGAACGTCACAACCTCACCCTTCGGTGGACCTATATGAAAACACTCGGCCTAGCGTCGTTATTTCGAGGAGCAGAATTTACTAATCTTAGCAGCGGGGAAAAAACCATTGCAGAGAAAGTGTTAAATACTGCACCAATCGTACATACAGCTTATAGACCTCGATTTCATGTGGATTATATACAAGATACTATGGCGTCTATAACAATTGTTGGACTGAAAAGATCAGACAGAGGAAGATATAGATTTGATGTTAAAACCCTCAGGGAGGACATCAACGAACTTAACACGCTCTCCAGCATCATGGAGCTCACAGTACATTGTAAGCAAACAAACAAAAGCTGTGTTTGGTCATGTAAGATGTAGCCTATATCTTTAAAACCAAGGTGTTTTTTACTCAGTATAATGCGTATCATAACCAACGTAAGTTGCAACTTCATTGGGATGGATCATCATTATTGTGATTGTGATTATCGTTATCCTTTTTGCTTCATCATTATCGTAAAGGTCATCGACATCATTATCGTTACTGTCGATTCTTTTCTGCATTCATTTTTTTGTTGTCGTCGTTGCTCAATTCTTTGTCTTCCTCCTGCAGAAAGTGACAACGTCTACATTTTGGGTGATACTTGTCGCTGTCAATTTAGGATCATTATATATATACGTAGCTTTTGCCAGACAGCTTGTTATATAACTTTTTCGTATGGTGTTCTTTAATTTTTGTGTTAAATAAGCGCGGTCGCAACGTTTGGATTTGACTTAAACGATAGTTTAGTTGTTCTCTCTCTACTTTTTCTACCTAGTAAAATGTGATTTATTTTCAGATGCGGCGAGCATGGCCAATGTTAGCGACCACCAAACTGTGCAAGAAGGATCTTATCTTCAACTGTTATGTCAAGCATTTGGTAATCCAACCCCAAACATAACGTGGACCAAAGTGCTTGAAAATAGTAACGATAGTAAAGTGCTGCATCATGGAACCCATTGGAATTTAACAAAAATTAACAGAACTGCTTCTGGTTTATACAACTGTACAGCTGACAATGGAATTGGAAATCCAGTGTGGCGGCTGATAAAAGTCAATGTTACCTGTAGGTGTATCATACCTTGTCACCGCTTTGATTAGCATTGAGAATTTTAATTCCCATTATTTTTCCGTCTCCCAAAACAACTGGTAAACCAAAAAATGCCTTGGTTGACGTTCAAGAAGTATGAGTGATAAATATCTTTAATAAGGTACTTCAAAAACCTCTTGACCGGGTGAAAGCATTTGTGAAAAGTACTGTTGTCAGCGTCAAGGACTGACGTTTCGACGACATATACAGAAACTGAAAAGTTGCTCGTCAAAGATAGGTGAAAGGAATATGGCAAATGTTCGGCCAGTTTTACTGTGATCTTGTTTACTACAAAAGTTAATCAGCGTCGGTAATTCATCCTAACAGCAGACGCTAGCTGAAGTGGATTATTTTTACTCTTCTCTGCTTGTTTTTGTTACTTAGATTCTGCTAAGGTTGTTAAACTTGCTAGCGAACATCACGTTGCAGTACAAGGAAGTGTGCGTCTTCACTGCGAAGCCGAAGGAAATCCTCCGCCTGCTTACACGTGGTTCCCTTGTGATTCAAAGACCCAAGCATGTCATGAGAGCACACTTACTGTTTCCAACGCTCTTAACGACGCTGTGTACTCTTGCAATGTGGCAAATGTTTTGGGTAATGATACAAGAAAGACCAAAGTTGGTAAGTTTTAATTAAGCGATGCTAACTTAGAGTTATGAGGAATTTTTACATAGCTTCCTTTATGAAAATTTAATAACAACTTCACAGATCTCCTTTGGTATAACAAACGATCACTGAATGCAACTTGTTCCTACATGTATTTAAACCTGATCATCACCTGCAAATAATTATATATATTCAAGGAAAGTTGAATCATACTCAGCCAAGCACTGGAATAGCTAATATTATGAAATGATTAAGATTTCACGGGGTCATAATCAGTCATATCTTTCTTTGTGGAAACCCATAAGTCATCATGCTAGCCATACCATGCTGACGAGGCTCAGCAAGACTGAAATAGCTGACATAGTTGTTAACTCGGTGTCTTAATTTTCCCGCTTATTTTCTTTGAAAAAGACCTCACTTGACTTCCATTGTTGCCGCTGTGTCGCCTCCAGTAGCATAACACAGCTTTAAACTAATGTTGCTTGTTTGTTTTATCAAACAGTTATAGCAGGCAATGTGATAAATGTGACACTTTTCATCAGTGAACAGTGTCCTGATGAAAATTTATCTGAATCCGTGTTGTGGAAGAACCTCGAACAAAAGGTAACTATTTGGCATGTGACACCACCACACACGTAAATAGATACCTTTATTCAGCAGAACGGTGATGATGTGCATATGGGATTCGCACTGTATAATTTTGCTATCGTTTCTTGTAGATCGAGGACCTATTTAAAAATGAAGGATACAGGAGCACAGAATTAACAAATTACAGGTATGTAGGCGAAATGAATTATTACCTGGGTAATCTGTCCTTTTTATGTATTTAGAAAGATGTTGCTGTGGACTTACTGTGACTCAGGCAAAAACATGATGTATTACAATAGCTGGAATTCCTATCCTACTCTTTACGAAATGTGTGCAGGTTATTTTTCAGTCCTCTGTTGAACTTATTACATTGAGGATGCACGAGAAAGGGGCCTAAGGTTTGCAGCCAGTTACCCTGAGATACTAGAAAGTCCTAGGATTTACAGCTGTTCTTATAAGTAGACCTGTTTTTAAATTCTTGTTTTTGTTCTGACCCTCCTAGGTGTGGTAGCGTGATTGTTGATTTGGCCTTGAAGTTCAATTCCTCTGTTAAAGAGGAGAAGGTGCTTTCAATGCTAAAAGATTCTGCAGAGAATGGAGGGCTGAAAGAGTTGGGTGTGAAAGCTTCAGAAATAGTAGGTTGGCGACCCGGAAGGCCAACTGAAGGACCCAAAAGCTCAACGTATGGCACAAAAACTACTGAAAATGCATGTAAGTAGGAATGAAAAGCGAGGATATGACTAGGACCAGTCCAGGACATTATTAGTTGCTGTAAGATGTGGTGTGTTATAATTTTTTTAATCACCTTTTAAAGTTGATAACTTACAAGTATAGATAAATCGATGCCACTATTGTCTCCGGAGGGGAATCGATTCGTTGGTAAGGCAAGCTCCTGACGTAATTATATTTGCTAGGATATTCCGAAGTGTGGCCAACAATATCAATTTTAAAAACCACTACATGATGGACGATTTTTTTTTCTTCTGTCAGATATAGTAATGTTAAAAGTAGAAAACATGAAAAACTGCTGAAAGCTTTGGCTACTTAACCTTTTTCAGCATTGTAATTTGCGACTCGTGACTCTTTACATTCGCTAGCCAGTGAATTTAAACTTGTTTGTGCTTGCATTAAATTGAATGCCTCAGCTTTACATTAGTTACATTTACATTACTTCCTTTCCTCAGCATCCGCTGTACCTTCCGAACTCCCTGCTCAGAGCGGGGATAACCAAGGTCTTAAAGATTGGATGATTGCTGTTATAGCTGGTGCTTCTGGTCTTGTCCTCCTCTTTGTCGTTATATTCTTACTTTGTTGGATCAGTAAAACTCAGAAGAAGAAGAAGGGCTCCGGAGGTAAGAAAATCACGCTATAAGTATTACCATTAGTGTAACACTGACACCACTATCGTTTCATCTCCCGCGATTTTGAAATCTTTTTAATTATCAACCCCGAACCCCGAAGGTTCATGTGAAAGTAAAAGCCGCTACCCGGTCAAAGCTGCTTTCCTCGACGTTGAACATACATGTCCAATGTACTTGTATAAATCAAGTTGGTGTCGATTATATCAAAAGCTAAGAGAAACGCGACTTAAGTTTGTGCCTGGTTTTCTCTTTACTTTGGGTGACAATACGAGAGATGGTTTCCCTTTGCTGATACTCCACGACCACATGAGCTTCATGCTAATTACTTTCAGACCTCTTTTTTATTATGAATAATTTCTTCGAGTTTACGATGTAACATAGTTTAATCTGATGATAGTAACGGGCATGTCATATTAACAAATACTTATACATTTCTTTTTGCTTTCTTTCAAGATGAAGCCGTTGACATGTCGACTACTTCGAGGTAAATTTTACTTTTTTCTGTTGTGATACTTTTCATGCGAAAGAGCGCTGTCAAATCTGCTTTCGCTTTTTACAGGTAAGGTAAAGTTGGTTACCGGGTTTGATCGACTAGTTTTATTAATTCACTAACAGACGCACCAAATTGCGGTAATTACAACGTTTGGCTCGCAATCAACAACTGATTACGTTTGTGTAGCTCCAAATAAGCGATCAAACGGATCACTAAGAGATGAAAAGTACGGCCAGGTCGCTTAGCTAGAGTGACATTGGCGGCGTTAAAGGGTCAATTTCCCACTTTCAAAGGCGAATTTCATTTGGTGAGCAGGATCTCACGCTGATAAGAACACTCTTGAGGTTACTTTGTTATACATCATTTACTTCATACAAATTGAAGTTGGTGGAAGGCAATGTTTGATATCTGTGATTGTAGCTATTTGATACTGGAGAGAGCCTTTTTGTTGGAGTCAAACACATTCTCCAGTTTTTGTGATTCGCTTTATTCATTCGTCCGTTTCTTTTTTCTTTTTTTGTTTAGGTATGTAAAGAATGGCCCCCACCATTCTGACAAGCCTAGCTCTAGCAGGGAATCTATTGAAGATGATCCATTCATTGCTGCGTCCACTTATTCCCAGAATTCAGTCGATAGAAGGGACAGGAAGAGAGATTCCAGTGTCAACTATGGATACCAACCAGACGGTAGAGAACTTAGACTTAAGCCAACATTCTTGATCCATATGATGCCTTATAAGGCTAACCGTACAGAGTTTTCTTGATAACGTTGAATGTGGCTGTAATTAATGTAAAGTGTTTTCATAGGAACATAACTCAAATCGCAGCCATAGTTTATTCCGGTTCCTGAAGCGTGAAGTTAGCCGGTTTGTTGGCTGCTTTCTGTGGATGGGATGTTAGCTCGTTGAAGTTATCCCCTTTACCCAATATTTCGTCTGGTTTCTCTGACTATTCACCGGTTATCCTGTGTTGTTATGTAGACAACTGCCTGGAGAGGGGTACCGGTGAAGTACGTGTCTTACCTTAAAATACAACACATTGACACAGACCATACTTTGAACCCCAACCTGTTGATTCTCTAGGGTTTTTTTTAAGCGTTACTAACGTGCCTAATGTAAACGGAAAATTGGTTTGCCTGATCAACCATTCGCGTAAACAGACGGCTCTTGTTGCAGCCATCTCGACACTATATTTCTTTTCTTTCCTTCCCACGAGGTTGTCAATTTAGAAAATAGGTTAAAATTCTTTATGTACAAATAATGCATCATTGTGTAAATACTCTTTTACAGTCGAATCTGGTTTTTGCTAAATATCAAATTCGCAAGCAGTTATAAATTTCTCTGTTTTCTTCCCCCCCCCCCCCCCACCACCTTTTTGTCTATCTTAGATTCAGATCAACCACAAGGTGAAATGCTGCTAAAATCAGGCTCCCGTCTCCCCAAAAATGACCGTCTTACGCAAAGTACAGGAGAGCTTGATGTGACCTCCACATATTTAGCGAAAGGACCACAGAGAGATTGCAGTACACTTCCCTCCTACCACAGACCACCCTCTTATGAGGAAGCCTCGAAACAGAAAGATCGAATAATGATGACTGAACCAAGGCCGAGTACATCCACAGGCGGCAGGCAGAAGCGACGGAAAAGTCCCCCGGAAGACAGGTTTCTGTATCACCATGTACTACATTCACGTACTCTCTATAAGTACCTCTATTCAACTCTCTTTTCTAAGACCACTCAATTTTTTTGCGTCGCAGTGAGTGGCTTCATTCTTCCACGCTGTACTTTGCAGTGCTTTGTTATGCTTTGCTGTGTTCTGTTGTGTTTGCTCAGGTCAGCTGTACTCCGCTTTTTCATGCTCTCTTGTGATGTGCTCCACAGGGCTGTGATAGGCTGTAGCTACGTAAGCCAACCTGCTATCACCGAGACTCCCATCAATTTTAGAACATACCATCCCAATGATCTTCCAATTTTCCTTCACAGACGTTAGGACAACGTCTATCATCTCTTGGAATCCCTAATGCATATGTCGAATTATGATTGTCATATTGTACACAGGGCGGAAGAAGCCAGTGTAGCACCAAGTGAAATGAGGTCTAATCAAGACGGACATAGAAGTGACAAAGACAAAGGACCTCTTGATCCAACGGCGATATATGCCATGCCAGACAAGAAAAAGAAGTTGGATAAACAAAGTCCTGCATCCCTTGAATCGGTTTTTGGTAAGATGAATTGAAACTAAAAAAAAAAAAAAGATTAAATTGAAAATTAAACATTTTAATAGTGCTGGAAGGAGAGCCTACTACTCAAAGGTGTATGGCAGACGTCTTCTCGAATGCATCAAACATTTCCCTCTGCCTGGTGTTACTTATTTTTACCCACTTTTTACTTGGGTTGTCTTACTTACAAATCTTCCTTAAAGAATTTAAGATGTTCATGATCGTTTCCACCTACTCTTTTTTATCGCTAGACCCTTTCAAAGCGAAGGACAAATCTGCTAAAGGACCAATTCTACATAATCCTGGTAACTTGGATCTTGATGGCCCCGCTAATGCATCTACAAGTGAGGGGCCAAGAAACTTAATAATCCCCATTGAAATGTTACCTAGCAACCGCCAAACGCCCCAAAAAGATGATACAGGTAGGTAACCAAGTGTTAAATCTACGGGGTCGACTAAAGAACTTAAAAAAAAAAAGGGAGAGAAGTTCGAGAGTATATTTCCTGCGTCAAGAAATATCTTATGATAACCTCGAGCTGTGGTGTTATAACTTAAAAATTCTTTTCCATGGCATATCTGTTCTTTTCCGGAGCCTTCCGTGGTCGCGTGAGGGCTCTTGACCAACAAGGGTCAGTGTTATAAAGACGTCGTTTGATATCATGGTCACATATGACACAAAAGTGAAATTTTTCCATAAAGGAACGATCCACATTTGCAGTCATACTTCCGACTTTGCAACTACGAAGACACAGTGTGTGATAACTAAGTGTTATTGTTCTTTCTTTAGCCTTGACAACTGAAAAGTTTACTAACATCTAGTGTTATTTGTACGCAGAAAATGGAAAATCAGAGCCTTCATCACCTCTTAATTTCACTTTGGAAAAACGTCCACGGAACAGTTCAAGCGGTGCTGTACGTTATCAGCCGGAGCGGAGTAAACTGGTAAAGTTCATGGAATTAGATAGTTTCTTCATTTCCGAAGTTAACTTTCACTTCACATACTCCAAAATAATCATGTACTTTGAAGTTGATCAAACACAGAGACGATTCTCTCGTAAAAAAACATAGCTTTCACATACGATGCTCTGATGTTTATGATATACCAGCCAAACAAGAAGAGAAAATTTTATTTCTTTCCTTCACCCACTGCGCAAAATCTTGCGTTTAGCCGGCAAGCTTCTCTATTCTATGGACCAGAGGAGACATACTTACCTTTGTAAAACTCTGTTTATGAAACATGGAGTGTATGAAAGAAAGGAACACTAATTTTCTTTTCTGCGCTTATCATAAAGAAATAGTTGGGGATGATAATTGTTCAGCCCTGTTATCCTCGTGAAGGGAAACGCCTCTTGTAATGTTTTCAAGGTTTTTCTAGATCCTATCACCTAAATTGTATCCGAACAATTGGGTCCTAACACCCCAGGTCAAAGTGGCCCTAGTTCTTTTGTTGTGGTAGGATATCACATAAATTTGCTTAATTATCGTTGACATGTTTTTGTCATAAATTCCGATCTTTTCCCTTTAATCCTGCAGCCATATAGGAATGTCCTTGGAGAACTTGTGAGACCAGATACACTATCACGAACTTCACAAGACTCGCACGACATAAAACCAGAAACACTACCAAACCAGTCGAAACCCGTTGGGTCCCAGACTCACAGCAGGGAATCATCGGATGCAAGCTACATCACCTACGTGGTCTGATGGCGCGGCAATCTGTCTTCCAAACAGGTCACTATTGTTGCTTTGAACCCGAGACATCTAATTAACTTCCATACAACTATCAATAACGGCTATGAGCCCATCTGAGTAAATAGCTTTCAGAGCTGTAGAATGACTTCATTCAAGGAAGACAACTTACGTCCACATGGCCAGCCTTAAAATTCCATCTTTGGACCTGATTCACTCAACTGGCCCGATCTAACGAAAATCTAACGAAATTCAAAAAAGACTTAACAGTGAACTTAGACATACTTATGTACAATAAATTTACCGTGGGAATATTGCTTGCCAATATATCCCACGTAAGTGAACGGTGAATTTCATAGAATGGCTAAGTGCTGGTTACTGCTAAACATTTCGAGTGTTTGCCGTTACATAGTCGAATACAGCGGCTTTAGGGTATCACGTTTTTCAACCAAAGGGATATATATATGTTATTTGCCGGCTGGGAGGTCCGTATGGTGAAAAACTGTGACCGAGGTCTTGAAAATATTGCCCGAGGCCGTAGGCTGAGGGCAGCATTTTCAAGACCGAGGTCACAGTTTTTCACCATACGGAACGACCCTTAGCCGGTAAATAACATATTTATTGTTTTAAACTTGACGAAATTCTTTCCGAAAGAACCCGAATGACTTATGGCCGTAAATACGGCAAGATCTTCCATAAACTGAACAATTTTTGATTGAGTAAATGGTAGTTAAAATAGAGGTGATGCAAATTTAAGAGAGATGCCTCAGGGAACATTTTCATTTCCGTAACGATAAAGGTGATTTAAAAGGCTTCCAAACAAACTTTGAAACATTATTTTTACAAGTATCTGTCACAATCTGACACCTGTCAATTAGAGAGCGCGCAAGAAAAAAAAATCGTAGGAACATTTGAAAACCAACAGAACTAGTTTGGCAAGGACTGTCACGACAATGTTTTCTTAAAAATCAGTTAATGATCTAACGGAAAGTATTATTTACCCTCATCGACCATTCATTCATGTACGAAGATTTACCTCTGTTCATTAAGTAAACGGCGAGGAAAGTAATTGTGAGTAAATTCAATTTTTTATTTTGAAGTTGTGAGAGTTTGCTCGTTTGTTTGCTGTAATGGCGTGTTTAACTCTGATCTTTCCTTCACAAAAACTAAATTCGAACGGCACACTCCAACGAGACACAAGGGAATTTAATGCAGCCTTTTCTCAATTCCTTCAATTTCTGTTGTGCAATTTAAGGTACAAATGTCCAAATTGAACGGAATTGGAAAGACTCACCAGGAGCGTATATTTGTTGTAGAACTTAAATTAAAACTTCACTCGCTTTTTTTTTACTATGAACAAATTGCTCGAGAAAATTTAGATATTAAATGAATGAAAGTTCCATCGTTCAGTTTAACTGTAACCAAATACCTCACGTTTCAACTTTCTGGGTACTTTTTGTGAACGATTAAAATTAATTGCAGACGGTTTTTAGGCCGCTTGTCAACCAACGTAATGACACTATTGTTTATACAAATTCATTCTGAAGCCAATATTTTTCTGTCAACCAAAGTGATTTGATAGAGAGAAAAGGGAGGATTCAAAAGTTATTTATCGGCTTGAGGTAATGACCGACGTGTTTGCTTAAAAATACTGCCCAGCCGGAAAACGAGGTATATTTATGAAAAATGACAACGAAAGTTGGGATGTACTCGGCGACTCACGAAAGCGTTACCGTGGCCCGTGGGCAGAGATAGGAAAATACTGACCGGGTAAAGAACCAATCAGATTGCAAGATTCGTTACCGTGCCCTCTAAAAAAACAATAAAATGCATTTTGACCTTTCCGTAAGTTAAAATGTCTATATTTGTGAAAAATGCTTTGTGTCGCACATAAATGCGTAACAACATCAAAACATATAATTAAGAAGGAAACCGACAACTGAAGAAAAGGTAACATTCATTAAGTACATCAATTTGTGGAATTTTCGGTTTCATTAATAGAGACATTCTTATTCTCTCGGTAGTCAATATTAAAAAGAAGCTTCCGTCCAAATATTGTTTCTCGAACAATTTGACTCGAATTTTGGTGCACTGTATGTTAATAGTAGAGAGGTGATTAACTTAATTTTGTAGAGCGTTTCTTTCTTTTGGCAGTTAGTATCAGGCTTTGGAGGCCGTGGTGAAGAGGGAGCAATTGAGAGAAATTCGACCAAGGGTTTTTTTTTTGTTATTCGTTTTGCTACTATTAAGTAGAAGCAGTATGTATTGAAACAGTTTATTCACCTCCATGTTGTTATGATGATGGATATATTCTTCACTTTTGGTATACATAATTTTGATAGGAAGCGTTCGAAGGCAAATGCCTCAGTAATATTCTGTAAGCTGCTGCTGAAGTTTGTTTCAATCACACTATCAGTTAGAGATAACCATAGGTAATTTTGTGAGATTATATTGCTTAATAGGAAATATTTATTTTTGATCAGTTCGAAAAAGGGCACTTCGCCGAACGGATTTCTTCTTAGCACTGAATGGGTTTACAAAGATTATTTCTCGGCAAAAAATGGAATCATGTTCCTCCGTCCAGTTCATAATCCTGCAGACAAAAAGAAGCGATACATGTTTTAAATATACGTGTACAACTACAAACAACTTAAAGCAAACCTGGAATTATGTGAAACTGATGACTTCTAACAAAACTTAAATCTAACTCGCCAATTCAAGTGTATGTCCAGTTATAAATCCGCTAACGGCTTAAAGCAAACATTTTGCGGACAGAAGCACTTAATTGGCAAACATATTCTTCTACATGTATATAGTTCTGTTTCTTGTCTTTGTGAAACTGCTGTGCCCGTAGCCTCTAAAATTAAAATCTTACTGAAACAATTTTTGCGGAAACAGTGTGTGAATTGAATTGCCGCAAAATACAGCACAGTGCTGGTAAAGGACTCAAAATAAATTTGAACATACTAGGAAAATCTTCAAGGTAAAGGAAATACTGTAATCGGGAACAACTTTGCTTTTATACTACAAATCAGTATTTTTTTTTTAGCCGTAATTCACTGAACGAACAACGCAAGAATCTACTCACTGCAGTTTGGTGTTTGAGGCCATGAGAACTGTCTTGTCTTGTCTTGTCTGTTCAGAAATATGAGTGAGCCTGACAAGAAAATACCAAAAGAAATGACGAATGCAGCCGGGATGATAAAACTTTCGATATACAAAGAAAAAGTGCCAATTTACTGTGTTTTTGTAACTGAAATAAGTCGAAATACTTACAGTTTGTTGACAACGTGAAAATGCTGTCCAGCGCGTTCGTCTTGAGCAAGGACGCGACTTGTTTACGTCACGATGATGCGCTGTGGTAATCATTTTGATATTTTTACTTCCGGTCAGGTTCAGTCACGTCCGCGTTGTTGGATCTTAAAGTCCCTATTTTCTTGTTGAAAGCAGCCGCAAACAGACATTCGGTAATCTAAAGCCTATGGAGTTCCTGACAGGAATATGCAACTTTTATCTGCTGCTACATATCCTTGTTCGGGAAGTATGTAAGTATCTTCAACTTATGAAGCAAATACGTGCACGTAATGTGAGACCCTATTCGTTGAATAGTGTCACGAAGACTATTGGTTTTTTTTTTTAGTTGACATTTCTGACATTCATACCGTAAGTAATCATTCGATACTGAAATACGAAGCACTTCCTTACCATGGACGCAGCTTGAGAGCCCTAAGCGACTATTTACTACTGTATTTTCCAAGCAACGAAAATAAAAGTATGTTTTCGTTAGCCTTTAAAATCCAAGAATTTCGATGGTATTTTCGTCATGCGGGACGGAATAACCACGAATTCTATTTGGTCACACCACGTAAGATTGGAGCGTACTGAACGTCATAGTCTTGAAAGTCTGGCCTGCTTCAGATTTCACTTCGTAGGAAGTGACAAAAACATTCTCAGATACTTGTTCGTTATGTTTCACATTTTTTGCAAGAAACACTATCTTATCCCTTGGAGTTTTTCTCAAATATATCACGCGATAATTACAAGTATGCGAGGTAAAGTAGGGAAATCGTTTTATTTTACTGTGGCAAAGTAGATGCAAACTAACAATTAGTGTCTATTTATATCTTTTAGCTCAACATGTTATTCAAAATAAATGATTTGCCACAACACGAATTGTTGATTATCTCACATAATCAATTGAGGCCATTCACAGAAATCTGTGTTCAAAACTGCCGTTCATTCGTGTGATCGTCGCGAAAGTAAACAGTTATCTCGTATCATCAATCAATGCAGTTCACTGAAATCTATTGATAGTCACGAAACGTCTCACAAGAGTTTCAAACATCAATCGAGTTTTGACGCACTATTTCTTTTTAGTTAGTTTTGCTTAGCGCTTGGCTGATAGAACTTCATCTATTGTAAAGTTTATTGGATGCATAAACGACACAATCTTTTTTTTGTAAAATGAATCAGACTTTCAAGACTATGACGTTCAGTACACTCCAATACGTGCTTCGTATTTCAGTATCGAATGATTACTTACGGTATGAATGTCAGAAATGTCAACTAAAAAAAACAAATAGTCTTCGTGACACCATTCAACGAAAGGTGTCATAAAGAGACTTTTGCCCATTCCATCGAAAAACCACGTTTTCCATCGGAATCTATTGGTGTGTATTGGAAATATATGGAGGAATGATGAATAAAGAGACTTAGATTCGACCATGAAATATATTTGTAGAAACCTAGAAATAATACCTGGATTTCATTTGTCGCTCAATCTAAAACAAGAGGATATCAAGAGAATATCAACTGTTGATATTCTCTCGGCCTTGACATTGGCATTGCTGACAGATTTTTGGGGCCGGTTATTTAAAGGAGGTCTAACCAAAACCATGGTTTTACATAAGCGGCGGGCCTTAGGCCTTGACTCTAGCTATAAGAGGGATGATTTCATTAAATGAATGTTCCTCCTCTGTTAGATTTCGGCCCTCTTGACTCTTTTCACAAAAATATATGTTTAGATAAAAGGTCCAGCTAAATTGAAGATTGTTTAGAACATGGTTTTGTTAAACTACGGCTAAACTTTGTTGAAATAACTGACCCATGGTGTTTAGAAATGACAATATGGCACGGCAATAGTTGAAGTATCAAATTTTAACCTACAAGTAGTTTCCCTCAAACAATGCCTGAAGAGATTAAATTCCATTTCCAAGAGTTTTGTGACTAAAACTCTCAATTTGGGAAGAACGTTCCTAATTCAACTGACATGCTTTGTTTGTATCAATGATCTCAAATGGCACTCCGCTCATTAAATATTTTTATCATGTAGCTTTAGTTGATGGCGCTCTGATTAGCTAAGAGCAAGATACAGTGGTATTACGGATTATGTAAATTAGGAAGAGCTCTGCGGTGGCCATCTTCTGTTTTCTAAAATTTGAGCATATGAAAATGATGAGGCTCGATTAAGAGTCTGAGAGGGTAAATTTAATTACAGGCAGTTATGAATTTTGAGGAACAGGGTAGAAACAGTTTTGAATTTCCTTAGAGATTGTGCTGGTCATGGACAAGGTGATTAAATAAGGAGATATTCAATCTCACATCTAATACTTGCTTTGGAAAGCTGTTAGGGACAAGATAACTCTTCAACGAGATTATTGCGTAATAAATTTTGTGATTAAGTTGTTTTTGACTTACCAGCTGGTAACCTTTGTCTTGTCGTATACAAAGCAGTTATTTGTTTGTTTTAGATTCAAGAGCATCTCACTAAGTCTTCTTCAAACCTGCAGCGAATTTACACCGCGTCTATTTTGTATTTGCCTTGTAAACTCATTATGCAGCATGCTTTTGTAACGATAGTGATAAATTTAGCAACTAAGGAGTAATTAGATGAATAATTATATATTCGTTTATTTGAAAGTGTACAGCCAGTTTGATTTCCAAAGAGTCTTGCTCCAATGTAAACCAAACAGGAGTGATTTATTCATGGTGATAGTTATTATCATACAGAAATGTTAAGCAGTGACAGCAATGGATCACTTGCCATCGGCTTTGGTGACCAGTAAACCCCTTATAACAAAATGTAATTTATTTTTTATGCCTGTACAACTGCTGCCTGGGAACCAACTTAGTCAAACCATTTTACCAAACACTTAACACAAGGACCGTGCAGCTGTTACAAATGCTCTAATGATATTACTGATTAAGTTTGGAATCTGATTAAAGTAAATACAGGATTGCAAACCATAGCCAGCCATAAATGTTTGGATAATTCTTGTAGGCTATGAAGAAATTGATCATTATGCTACACTAGTGCAAGATTCCTCCAAGTCAGCTTTAACAGATTTTATTTGCATTGTGTTCAGCTAAAGGAACAGTTTTTAATCATCCAATGTTCATTTTGCACAATTCTTGCATAAATTGTGGAAATGTGGCACAGGGTACCCATTCCAGTCCACCAATTCAATTTCATTCCAAGATGACTGGCTTTCTTTTGTGAAACATTTTGATAAGTAAGCCCGCTTCATCTTCCCAACATACAACAAAATTAAATGAGTTAAGTGTTTTAGTAGAAGAGGGAATTTCTCTTGGTACAACTTTTAAAATACCATGTTGAGGATGTTAATGAAACAGTGTCTTCATTGAAATAAAAAGCACTCAGAAAGTTTTTGAGAGTTCTTTTGTTAGGAGGTTAGAGTTGTTTTCACCTATGTAAGCAGCAACTCTTACCCATGGGAGTTAAAAGTTAAAATAGAAGAATGCTTTAACTCTAAAAAATTGTCATCTCCACCTTAAAAAAAAAACTTGATTAAAATTCTCTACTTTACCATGTTTTGAGATTTGAGTTCCTAATTGGCACCTTTGAATAAAGTAAGCTGGAAATTTTTTCTTGATAGTCTGTTATCCTTATACAGTCATTAAAACTTCTTTTTTATTCCTTTGTACATTTCCAGACAGTCAAAGTTTCACAAGTAAACCAAACAGTCCTGAGTATCAGTTGAAGGGTCAATCTGCATCCTTGACGTGGAATTTCAACAGCAATGGGAAAACAGTCAGTCAAATACTGTGGTTTCACAATAATACTTGGGTTGCTACTAAACCATCAATTGGACCAGCCACTGTTCTCAATTCACAGTATCAGGTATTAGGGGATGCAACACTTAGAATATCCAACGTTCAGGCAAAGGACAATGGTGATTTTGATTGTCAAGTGTTTTTCACCAATAGTCTCCCTCCTGTGATTAAAGATACTGCTACACTAGTTGTTGTCGGTAAGTTCCTCAACTAAGGTAACTTGCTATTAATATTAGTGGCATAAACATTTCCTAGTTTTAACATTTTTAAACTAAAGCTGGTGACACTCTTGGCGATTTTTTCCACAGATTATGCATAGCCAATTTGATCATAAGCAAAGATGAGTGATATCTGACATGCCAGACATCAGCAATCCTACTGTACATGCCCATCATAGCAATCCACAGAAATTGCCATTGTTGCATCAAGCATGCCTGGTGATTTTCACTGATAACCACAATCAGAATATAAAAATTTTCAAGTGTGTCAAGGCTTAAGGACAGATTTTAACCCCAGTACTAAAACTCTTCTATCTGGTGATTCAAAAATATTTTAGGATACTGTAATAATCCCTTGATTATCTTACCTTTGTATTAATAAAAATTCATTGTTTTACACAGTGAGCCCTATAATTACACTTAAAAGTACAACAGCTCCAACTTTGGATGAAGGTGCCACAAGAACATTGTTGTGTGTTGCCAGTGGTAACCCCGAACCCACTTACATGTGGTATAAAGATAACATAAAGATTCAGGAAGATCGAAACAACTCCCACTACACAATAACATCAGCCAGCAGGAATGATGCAGGGACATACAGATGTGAAGCTGTTGTTAATGTTCCAACTCTTGGCCAGTACAGTGACTCTTACACTGTTCAGGTTACAGTTAGATGTAAGTCAACTCACAATACCTACTTCTATTCTTTTCCCTGGATAGCTCATCTTATGCACTTTGTTTACTATTATAATACAATGTTAAATAGATGAGTAATGAGATTGAGGAAATTACCAGCTTATAAGGTATCATGGACAAATTCGTAGAAATAACCAACAAAGAAAGGTATGATAAACTGCTTAGAAAAAATATTACCGTATTTACCCGTCTATAATGCGCGCCCATGTATAATACGCTTCCTAATTTTTGACCTCTTTTTTCCGAAAAAAAAAAACAGATTTCACGACAAATACCAAAAATGAAAACTTCCATTTTTTCATTTAGTTAACTAGAGCTGGGAATTCATCAATAATATGTTTACAACAATTTCTAACTAGTTGCTACTACAAATATCGCACGCACCGACTTTTCTATTCAATAACAGTCTAACGTTTTACAAATGTTGTAACTTGAAGTCCTTATTAATATACCTAAATTCACAACTTGAATTATTATCATAACAGCCATTCATAAACATTATTTCTACTCACAGCACTGCTGGTAGCTTGAATATCATCACTGCATTGCAATTGCGTGATTTAAGTAAAATGTTCAGTGTCTTTAAACAACGAAACCTTCAAATTCCGACTCGCAGTCCAATTCGAATAGATTTTCGTTGACTGAATCATCAAGTTCATCAGTGATCTCGGTTGAATTGTAAACCAATTCAACTTGTGATCCATCTGAATTGTTTGTGATCCCATAATTCAGAAAGAGGCAGCGATCATTTCTGACGGAATGGCTTTCTACGCTTGCGAAATCTACGAACAGATCAGTTCTTCCGAAGCCTTTTGTCGTCCAGTAAATTCGTGAATTCCATCAGCCATCCACTGCTTTCGGACTCCATCTCTAAACGGTTTGTTCAAAGATACATCGAGCGGCTGAAGAAGGAAGCGGTCACCGTATCTGTCACGTGAGCTTCAAATGAGTCGTAAACAAGCAAGCTCTTTCTCCTCCCCAGGCCACCGATCCGCGCACTTTTACTTTCTTTGTTGTCTTTTTAACGTATGCAAATTAGGACGTGCTTGACAAACAATTGAATCCGTGAATAATACGCACCGCGATTTTGATGCTTATTTTTATAGAAAAAAAGTGCGCATCATACACGGGTAAATACGGTACTTTGGAAAACTCAGTTACAATGCATGAACACATGCATCCAATCACAGCTCAGCACAACAGGTAACACATAATCAAACTCCTAAAGAAGACAAGCAGTATGCAGTTGAAACGTCGCGATCCACAACTGCAGTGACAACATCATGAGACAAACAATCATACTTCTCTTTTAAAATTGTACATATATGTCCAAGATTGAATGCAGTAAATGTTGTATGATGTTCATGTATAGTCAATATACACTACATTAAAGGGGATCATCGACATATTCTCAGAAATGGCCAACAAAAACATATACAAACAGTTACTTGTTGAAGAAGTTCTGAAATTTCAGACCTCTGTTTCTTGTGAGTTCAGGATTGAATGCAAGTTCATCTTAATTTTTTTTTGGTTTGTTGTGTAATTTCATAACCAACAGCATTTTCACAATACTTCAGTTAGAAGTTAAAATGATGTGGTTCTTTAATTGAATTTTTTCTATGAGGATATTTTGTGATACCTGTTATAAATAGAATAAATGTCATTGACAATCAGTCCTGAACATTATCTCCCAGGACGTGTTGAAACATTTTCTACATGCTCATGGGATCATTTTGTCAATTGTTCATGTAAAGGTAATTTTGAGAAGGATCCAAAATTGTTGTGACTATTCCTGTTTATTAACCCTTTAACTCCCTGATCAAATTTTTAATTCTCCTTACTGTCAACCATACAATTCTTGTAAGGTTAATTAAGAGAATTTAGCATTAGATCAACTAATTATCTCCAAGTTGTTATTTTTCTTTATTCTCATGATTTATCTGGTTGATAATTGTATTGATACTCTAAGGAGAAATTCTGTCTAGGTCACTCATGGGAGTTAAAGGGTTAAATAACTGAGATATTACAAGATATTAAGATATTATTACAAGGTACAAGATATTATTGCCCTGGTTGACTGAAAAATACTATTGATTACTGCACCCTTAAACCCTTAAATAGAAAATCTAAACATTTTGATTTCATTTTGTAAAAACAGTTTACCTGGCTTTCTATTGATTAACCAGGTGTAATAACCCTCTTGGGATGTTGGAAAAACACAAGTAAAGTTCTTAAAACTCTTGCCTTTAGCTCTTGGTTGATAAACAATTCTCTTGAATTTGTTACATTCTGCATGGGTTATAGGCTGGTAAACCAATAGAAAGTCCAGTCTACAACAGAAGTATACATTTGGGACTGTTAATTGTTGGTATGGTACGTAAAGTGTACTGTAGCTTTATGACTGTTTTCCTTACAACCATTGTGGGTTATAGGGCCAACAAACCAATAAACCTCATTACTTTAGTTTACATGTAGGACAGTAAACTGTTAATATGGTGCATACAGTGTACTGTAGCTTTGTGACTTAATCCTTATGTAAGCCAATGATAAAGATTTCCTTTCATGTTTTCACATTTTTACCTAACAGTTCGTCCTGTGCACAAGAAAAACAGTTTGTGCAGTAATCAAACTGTCTTGGAAGGTCATACTGCCACATTTTATTGTCTCACGGAAGCATTTCCCACTGCAACCACAAACAAATGGTTTAAGGATGGTAATGAGATATCCAATTCGCAAGATTTTGAAACTTTGAAAATTAGCGATACAGAAAGCAGACTGACAATCAAGAATGCTACGAAGGGAAGTGCTGGGCAATACTCGTGTGATGGTACAAATGCAGTAGGAACTGGAGATAGAAAATCTGCTTTCTTATTGGTCAACTGTAAGTTATGTTATTTGTTATGGACTGGACAATGTTGTAGATTTGTTAAATATGTTTGCTGATTTTGCTGTCCTGTGCAAGTCATGATATTGGTTTAATTAAAATGTGACCCTTAATGGGAAAACGGACACTAACGCTTTTCCATTAGAAGGTCTCGAAAAACGGTTGTAAACGGATAGTAAATGGCTATCTCGAGCGTTTAAACGGATGCCATAACCGTTTAAACGGATGGCAAAAAATTTAAACGTTTGATCAAAGTCCAAAAACAGATAGCTTAGGCCTTCAACCCTTGCGAACTGAATTCCCAGTTTTCTGGGAATTCTCAAAAATTCCCAATTATGCAAATGACCCTTGCAAACTGAATTCCCAGTTTTCTGGGAATTCTCAAAAAATCCCAACTATGCAAATTAACCCTGATTTAAAAAGCTTGGAATTACTGGGAAAGGAAGACTCCAGTTTTGTGAGGACTTGAAAGCCCTAGGAATTCCTAGGAATTCTAAGCTTTACAAACTACCTATAGTTTAAGAAGTGTGGAACTCTTGGGAATTTCTGGGAATTGAATTTGAGGCAATTTTAATACCCTGAGGTCCACATAAATTCTAAGAAATTCTCAATACCTTGAATGTGAAGGTTTTAAGTGAAGGAGTAATTTCAGAGGCTTAAAACTTTGGCTCAATGAAAGGTATGCTATACAAAACTTACCAAGAGATATACATACATGTATATGTTAATAATTTAAAGATCATGAAATTTATTATTCAAACTAAGTTTTAGTAAATCTTTACATTAATATGGATTTTCTCATGAACCAGCTGTCAGTTATGTTAAATGGAAATTGCCAATTAATCCAATGTACTCATATCACAGATTTGCTTTCTAACCTCAAAGGACTCTTAGATTCTATGATCAAAAAATATTTTTATTGTGATGCAAATTAATGTCTCATGTTCACTGATGTGCCAAAATCATCAAACATTCATTGACTGTTCCTTGGTACACAACTTCCACAATAATTAACAATGATTACATTGTTATCTACACTTAAAGAACTTTGTTAGTTATGAACATAAGTTACTTCCCTAACCTACATTACTGGTTGCCTTTGTTAGAAAACCTTGGAACAGTCAAGCTCAGTTGCCTCAAACACTGTCAGAGACTTTTTGTTGACAATATTTTTAGTAGAAATTTCATGCCTTAGACAAACAAATTCAACACCTAATTAATCTTTCTTTTTTCATGATTGTTGTTGCTGTTTTTTTTTTCAGTTTTTTGCTCTGTTTTCGTGACTAATTTCTTTAATTTGTTTTGCTGTTTTTATTCTTACAAAACATTTTTGTAAGAATTCCAATACTTGTGGATCATCCACACACTTTGCAAACATTTGGCATGCAGACAAGACAGAGGTAGTCAATGTTCCCTTTGAGAAAAAACACCTTTTAAATGACATCTATATATCAATTTACTTTATTAAAATATTTGTCAACAAGATTTGTTATTAGTGAGAAGTACCAACCAAGTTTCCTTTCATAACTTAATTTCTTAAATGTCCCAATCACTGGATCTCCCAAAAAATATTACATCTTTTTATTTTTGGTGCAAAATACAAGTCCTTCTTTATATAAAAATGAAAATTGCAAGTCACAATACAATAATAACAGCTCTAAAGTTTACTTGTTGTTCTTCTCTGTCTGTCAGCTATCAACAAAATTGTTTTATACTTCGGACAGTGCATAACTATTTGTGGACCAGAGTTCCAACGCACCTCTGTAATCGCATATAGTTACTTCTGTCTCTTGTACAAATGTTTCTCCTTTGTAAGACGCACTCTACTCTGTTGTCACTACTGCTTTAAGTTCAGTGGAAATGACTGACTGAGGAATCGAGATGGCGGTGTTGGAACATGTTGCTGAACGCTTGCTACGGTCAAGCTTTGTAGATTTAGGTACTGGTACACTGGGATCATCTATGTATCTCTTATACTTCCTAATGTGGTATCCTTCTTTTATAAATATGAGGGTAAAAGACGATTTGTAGTCGCATTCAAAACTGTGATTGGCTTGTGTTATTTCTCACCTTTGCCATGAACACAACTCAAGTGAGTTTCGAGTCTTTGTTTCCTCGACAACTTTCGGCCACAAATCGTGCATTTGTAATACGATCGATTCTTGTCGATTATTTCTACATAGAGTGAGCTCACATCATTATTTATATCATCAAGGTTTCCAACCTCTAGAAGCAGAGAACCGGTCGGAGAAGTCAGAATACAGTCGTGCGCTTCTCATAACACTGCAATCGGCAAGCCTGCGGATTCACTTTGCTAGCCAATTACAAGTCCTAAAAGATCCACGTGATCATGCCCGTGATCGGAAACAAAGAAGACTCCATTTGGCGCTCATCTTTGAATGTACTTTTCATCGGTTGATCGTTTTTCTCAACTGTTTTGCTTAATACAACATTTCTAAAGATAGCTTTTGTTGTGGTTCAATGGGAAAACGAGAACAGCGTGAGTGTTCATTCAAAAGTTCAAAAGTCATTTCGCAAGGGAAACGGTTGACCAAAAATAAAAACGGTCAGCCCGAAACGTTAAACAGTTGACCAAAGTCCAAAAACGGATAGCTTAAACCGAGAAACGGTTGACCAAAATCGACAAACGATGAGCCAAAAATTAATGTTTAACGGCTGTGATTGAGCCGACGAGATCTTCTGCGGAAAAACTTTCAGTGACAACGGAAAATTATCCTTTAAAGCGAAAACAATGAGCATGATAATTTGAAAAAAAAAATCACTAGCATATACTTGCGCATTTTATTTCTGGGTTAATTACTGCCGCTTTCGTGTGACATTCATGAAATAAGCGCAATTTACTGAGAATAGTTTCGCTGCCGAATATCCTGAACGCAAAACAAATTTGCATATGCAATGCCGCCACCTTGTCTGAAGCCGAAACGTTTCAAGGTCAAATAACGCAATGAATTTCCATTGCAAATAAAAGGTCGAATTGGTGTCACGCACCAAGCGGGGCCGTTAAAATGTTTGTCAATAAAACCAAGAGAGATGAATCAAGATGATATAACCAGAAAGAGAGAAGCCGATTTAGCAGTCCATCAATGAGGAACAATTTAAAACTATGTGACGGGAACCAAGAGAGGGTTATCTCGATTCCACTAAACCTGTAATCAAGATCAGTCGCACTGTTCTGATCGAACAAAGTCGATGACAAGGTCATGGTCAAATGAATGGCTTCATTGCAATTGGCTCTCGATGCTCTTGGTTTTTACAAACGGATATTTCAACTTAATTTGTTTGTCAAAGGATGCGACGGAAACTCGCTTACTATGATCACGCAAAAGATAAAACCGAAAATATGATACGGTCTTTCTGTATTTCAAGAACCGGCGAGTATCGAGCGAACGTAAGATTTATACTTCGAACTGCCCGTAAAAGAATGATAGGCAAACAGTCCAAAGCTTTCCGTGAAACTTTAAACGGATGGCTTTTTTTTTTTAAACGGATAAGCAAACCGTTTAAATGTTTTTGCTAGAGCGTTGAACGGATGCAAATTTTTTTAAACGGATGAGCAAACCGCTTAAACGTTTTGGCAAAAGCGTTAAACGGATAGAAACTTTTTTAAACGGATGCAATTTTTTTAAACGGATAAGTAAACAGCTTAAACGTTTTAGCTAAAGCGTTAAACGGATGCAAATTTTTTTAAACGGATAAGCAAACCGTTTAAGTGCTTTCACGAACCGTTTAAACGGATATAAACGGATAGTAAACGGTTTTGCAGTTTAAACGGAAAAGCGTTAGTGTCCGTTTTCCCATGGAGGGTCACATTTAGCAACATAATTTTCGTATACGTGCATGATCTTAATTATCTTGATGTTTATCAGGGTGTTTATTAAGTTAATAAGAATTATACGCACTGTACATTGTATTTTGGGAGTGAAATGGTGCTTGTGTTAAAGTGTACAAGCTGGTCATTAATTACTTTTGAAATTCTTCCACATTTTCACTTTTCTTTTACAGTACCTTCTTCAATTACCCAAATAACACAAGATCAGAATGTAACCGAAGGTGACAATTTAACTTTGACATGTAATGCATCTGGAAGGCCTCAACCAAAGGTGTCTTGGATTAAGCCCGGTGGTCAGCGTCAATATGGACACATGTTGGAGTTTACAAACATTAACAGGAGTCAAGCTGGTGAATACAAATGTGAAGCCAGTAACGAGTGCAGTAATGCAACAGAGACAGCAACTATTGATGTGCAGTGTAAGTACATGTGAAAGTCATCCATGGTTACATCTTGTTTCTTGTTTCTTTCTGTCACAGTATACCAATTTGCTTCTCCATCACTTTATTGATGGAGAGACTTGTTTATTCGTAGCTTCAGCATCAGCCAAGGAAAGAGGACGACTCCTTGGCCAATTCATTATACGTAACTTGCAAAGGCCAATGAAATTATAATATAAATTATCTCTTTTGTCCTTAGACAAACCAGAGAATGTCCAGTTAATGAGTTCTGCCATGAATGACAAAGCATGTATGGGAAAAGTCATCAGTTTTACTTGCTCAGCTGATGCTAATCCAAGAGTGACTTCATACCGGTTGTTTGAGAACCAAAAGGCCATTTTAAACACAAGTGCCTCGGGGACGTGGAGTAAGACTTTGGAAAGTGAAGGAGTGTTCGTCTACAAATGTGTGGCTAACAACTCTCTAGGATCAGATTACAGCATGGATGTTCCTTTCACTGTAAATGGTAAGCAAATTAGTCGCTAACGCTTTTTAGGAGTCTACCATCAAGCAACATAATTTTTGTATACGTGTGTGATCTTAATTATCTTGATGTTTGTCAGGGGTTATTAAGTTGACAAGAATTACACGCACTGTACATTGTATTTTTGAAGTGAAATGGTGCTTGTGTTAAAGTGTACAAGCTGGTCATTAATTCCTTTTAAAATCCTTCCACATTTTCACTTTTCTTTTACAGTACCTTCTTCAATTACCCAAATAACACAAGATCAGAATGTAACCGAAGGTGACAATTTCACTTTAACATGTAATGCATCTGGAATGCCTCAACCAAACGTGTCTTGGATTAAGCCTGGTGGTCAGGATCAGTATGGACACATGTTGGAGTTTACAAACATTAACATGAGTCAAGCTGGTGAATACAAATGTGAAGCCAGTAACGAGTGTGGTAATGCAACAGAGACGGCAACTATTGATGTGCAGTGTAAGTACATGTGAAAGTCATCCATGGTTACATCTTGTTTCTTGTTTCTCTCTGTCACAGCATACCAATTTGCTTCTCCATCACTTTATTGATGGAGAGACTTGTTTATTCGTAGCTTCAGCATCAGCCAAGGAAAGAGGATGACTCCTTGGTCACTTCATTATACGTAACTTGCAAAGGCCAATGAAATTGTAATATAAATTGTCTCTTTTGTCCTTAGACAAACCAGAGAATGTCCAGTTAATGAGTTCTGCCATGAATGACAGAGCATGTATGGGAAAAGTCATCAGTTTTACTTGCTCAGCTGATGCTAATCCAAGAGTGACGTCATACCAGTTGTTTGAGAACGAAAAGGCCATTTTAAACACAAGTGCCTCGGGGACGTGGAGTAAGACTTTGGGAAGTGAAGGAGTGTTCATCTACAAATGTGTGGCTAACAACTCTCTAGGATCAGAATACAGCATGAATGTTCCTTTCACTGTAAATGGTAAGCAAATGAGTTGCTAACACTCTTTAGGAGTCTAACATTAAGCAACATAATTTTTGTATACGTGCGTGATCTTAATTATCTTGATGTTTGTCAGGGGTTATTAAGTTGACAAGAATTACACGCACTGTACATTGTATTTTGGGAGTGAAATGGTGCTTGTGTTAAAGTGTACAAGCTGGTCATTAATTACTTTTAAAATCCTTCCACATTTTCACTTTTCTTTTACAGTA